CGTGGTCGCCTCGGGCGGAGTCGGGTCGGGGGCTTGGCAGGCCGCTTGGCGTGCGCGCGCCTTCTCCGCCTCCCGGACGGAATCCTCGGCCCGGCGGAGTTTGGCTTCCTCCCGAGCGGCTTCCTCAGCCCGGCGAACCCGGACGGCCTCCTGGGCAGCTTCCTCGGCTTCTCGGAGGCGGTCTGCGGCTTCTCGCCGTTCAGCCTCCCGCCTCCGGGCCTCCGCGGTCGCCGTCTCCACGGCCTCGGACTGGCCGGACTTGGAATGGCGGGGGGGGGGGCGTGATGGAATCTCGCTGAGGCAGAAGAAAAACCAGAAGACAAAAAGAAACGGGTGAGTGAAAACTTGCCTTGGGAGATGGGAGAATGAATACGGCCGCAGTGGGCGCGGGGACGAACCTGCGAGGAGGTCGGCTAAACGACCACCTTGGGGGGGAGATAAGGTTTCCCCGGCATGGTTCGGTCTCCCCCATCTTGCGGAGCCGCTTCTTCTTTCGCTCCCCCTCGGGCTGCGACGACGGCACGGCACCCTCCGGGCGCCTGCTGCTGGCACGCGCCGCCCCGCCCCCTCGGGGAGGAGATGGGGAAGGGGTTCCTTCCTGCTTTCTTTTCCCCCGGGCGTCGGCGGGGCGGCCGCTCCCCGGGCCCCCGTCGCGGGGCCCAGAAGCACGACCCCCTCCCGGGGTAGATTGTTCCCCCCTGCGGCTCCCGCCCGCGCCATCGTGGCCTCCAGGAGCCCGCTCCTCCGACGCCCCGACCGCCTGCATGATGGTCAGGATGGTGGCGCGATCTGGATCGCTGCAGAGGGGGAGGACTCCTTGGGGGATGAGGGATGCCTCCACGGAGCTGAGATTCAGCACCCGTTGGACCACTATCTTGAAGTCCTCAGGGGCCCAGTCCCATCTGACCCCCTGGTGGGTCCTCATGTAGTCTTCGGACCCGGTGTACTCCCAGGCGCCCCGGGCGCGCCGCTGGAGCGGCGCAATCCGGCGACGAAGGTAGTCGCCGTACACCATGGCCCCCATGAGCCCCTGGGATCGCAGACCCGCCAGGCGGTCAAGAACGGCGTCGTAGCCGTCTCCCAGATCTACCGGCGCCCGCCAGCTGGAGACCTGCGCTGGGGGCTGGCTCGGAAGTCGGAGGCGCGCTTCGTCGGCGAGGGGGGTGTAGAACCAGTCGCTCTTCCAGTCGTCCCACTTCTTGCGGAGGACGCAGGGAATGTAGTGGCTCAGCACCGGCCCCCGCGGCTGGAAGTAGCAGCCACCAACTACCGACGGCGGCGACACTAGCTGTACGGTGAAGAACCACCGGAACAGCCGAAGAGATGGGCGCACCCCGATAAACATCTCGCACAGGTGCGCGAAGATGGCCAACGTCATTACCGCGTTGGGGGTGAGGTGCGCCATTTGGAGATCATAAAACTCCAGAACATCCATGAAGAAAGAAGAGAATGGCGGGACCAGCCCTGCCATTGCGAAAGGGAGGAAGAAGACGGACCGCCCCGGGTAGTGTGGTGCCGGGCGTCCCTCGCCCAGCTCGACCACCTCCCGACCGGCGGTAGATTCCGGCATGAATCGGCGCGGCAGCCCGGCCTGCCTCTCGCTCACGATGCGGGAAGGCGGCAGCACGCTACCGTCGAGCGGTGCGGAGCCCCGTGCCATGACGCCGGCGGAGGAGGAACTTGAGAACGAGTGAGTGCGGCAAGGGTAGGGCACAGGAAACAAGGAGTTAGGGCGCAAGCGGCGAAGGCAAGGGGAATAATGGCGAGAGGAAGGAAACGAATCTCTTCCTTGGCGCCCTTATACCCTTGCCAACGCTATTCCCGGCTCCTCGTTTCCCGCGCCCACTATCTCGCCCCCTCGTTTCTCGCGCCCACGCCTCCACTAATCCCACTCGCCCTTTTGCGGCGCACGAGGCGGATGTGCGGCCGTGGCAGTCGAGATGAGACATATCGTGCGCGCGTTAACTACGCTCGCCGACCGAAGCGCCATCATCATATCTCCAGGCGAAATGAACCGGCTCGTCCCGATTCGCGCGCTATTTCGAGAAATGTAGCGGTCTTGAAGAGGCCACTCATTATTATCGGTCGTTTTTTCCCTAGCCGATGCGCGCGATTTGCGACCGCTGGGTTCCTGCCCACCTGTAGAGACCGGTCCCACCTGTCACCAGACCTAAGGAGTGGCGTCACGCCCGAGCGCTTCCCTCGAGGGGGGCGATCGCCCTGGCATAACGCCGGGGGCTACTGTCGGTGACATGGGATCGGGGGTATCATGACTAGAGGCTTGGGCAGCCGCAGTCACCCACGTGGCCTAACCCCCTCGGGGGGGGGGGGGTCGGGCCTGAGGGAGACGTGGCCACCCCTCCTCTGTCTTCCCGAGGGGTCGGGCCGCTCCTGCTTCGGCCCCGAGGGCTGGGGTGCCCCGACCCCCTGTGGTATTGGCGCCATGTTTGTGAGTTAGGTGGGCACAGCGGCGCTCACCAAACCACATTTATTGCGGAATGGACAAGCGCGCCACGCCGCATTTAATGCAGCACGGCGCACGCATATCCGGTCCGTGACCGGTCGCAGTGTGTGATCGGTCACAGACCGGTCAGATCGCGGGTTAGGTGGCAGCAGGCGGACTGTCACACGCCTCGCCCCGTCCCGTCGGAATGATGAGAGCCTCTTGGCACTCGTCCCTAGCTGGAGCCAGCGTGGTAACTCCTGGAGTTAGCACATCAGTCCCGGCTCGATTCATGCCAGGCTTCATCGCAACCATTGCAAGGAAGTCACTGTATGAAGAAGGGCAGATGTGTGGCATGCTAAACTGACACGTGGTGGACAAGAATGACCGGTCTGTCACTGGTCCGACGCCGGTCACGTCATCGGCAGACAACCGTGCTCTCATGTTGCATCAGCTTCCAGCGGAGTGGAGGCAGGTATGACCCATCCCATCGGAGGGTCATTCGGACAGCGGCCATTGCAAAACTCCGCCCATTAATGAAGAAATGACAGGGTGATCCCCTGTGTCTGACGAGTGACGGCGCTGGGCATCACTCAAGGACAGGCGTTGATTTAGCTTCCAGGCGGAGGTGCGTGTCAAGATTTGGTCAAGATAGGGTGGGTCCCCACCCAAAAGAAGAGTAGGTAGAAGTGGTGCATGTGGTATCCCCTTGAGATATAAAAGGAGGACCTTGCCCACAAAGAAAAGGGGGGACAACTCTGAGAAGACTTGAGCTGGGGGAGGAGATCGAGAGAAAAAAGAACCAGAAGAGAAGGAAAAAGAGGGGTTCTAGAGCTTGAACTCTCTTGCTCCCCGACTCTCTGTAACTCTTCCTCACACATATCCACCAGAACACAGGAGTAGGGTATTACGCTTCTCAGCGGCCCGAACCTGTCTACATCGCCCGTGTCTTGTGCGTTTGCTCTCTCGCGTACATTCCACAGATCGAGGGTGAAGAACCTCACTTAGCGCCCCCGGCCGAACTGGCAAAGGGGGGCCTGCGCGGTCTCCCGGTGAGGAGCCCCACGCTCCGTCAGAGGGAGTATATGAATATGGGCAATGCTAGAAAGTCTTATAATATGAAATGGAGGAAGTATCAAATTTCTCATATAATTACTGATTTAAGGCATCATATCCAAAACTACAGATTTACTGATGAAATTATAAAATATCTATAGATTTTAGAGTTTTTATCCATATCATATTTAAGGCTATAAAAGTTGTAGTTTTGTGATAAAACTAATGTTAAATTTGTATTTTTCTAATATGATACGATACTTTAAGTCTGTAGTTTTATGAAAAGTATTAGGTTAAACATATAGCATATAAGTATATGTAGCTTTATGAAATTTAATCAGTATTATGAATTGTTCTTACCGATTATATCTACCTATTATATTATATTATGTAAAGACGTAAATATTAAGAAATTACCTAATATCAAATAATTATAATGGATGAGCATTTGAATCCAAGTCGTCTAGCTCACCACCTTGTGTAGCTAACCGGAAGATCCCTCGGTGTTTCTTATTACGTTACGTGATATTAGTTTTATACGAAAGATGTAAAAGAGTTACAGTTTTCATCGCGGCATATAAATTACCACTTTCATCGAAAAAAAAGAAAAAAAATGCACCGGTGAAATATGGTGGGTACAAGTATAAGAACGATCTAAACTGATCTATATAATTTTACATAAAATAAATATACTTTTTCAGAAATAGAGCAATAGTTTGAGATAAAATATATTTGTATTTATCGAAATAGAAGTAACAATTGTGTGTTAGAACTAATTCTATTTTTAAAATCTAGCTCCTAACAAAATTGTCACTAATTGTCTTCGAAGTTTATCACCAACATTTGGTGGCTAAACAATTTAATCAGCGAAATTTTTTTATTGGGAAGAAGCGAAGGTATGCCAACGGACGAATTTTGATCAGAATTCATTTAACCTTTTGCACTATAGTTTAGGTCTTGTTTAGTTCACACCAAACTTCTCCTAAACTTCCAACTTTTCATCACATCACATCCAAAATTTTCCTACTCATATAAACTCTCAACTTTTTTTCCAAACTACCAACTTTCCCTAAACTTCTCCCCAATTTCAGAAACTAAACACAGTCATGTCATGATGTTGTCATGATGTAAAAGCCATAAATATGGTAGACAATGAGGCAAGGATAACCGTCAAGCCAGCGCGAGTACAAAATACTTGTTGTTGCTCCATTGCCAATCGAGTTTTAACTTATACTAATATTAGATTACTTAAACCCCGTGGGATCTTTGGAAGATTAGGGGCGCCACGTCATCAGTTTGGTTCGGATAATTAAAGCGCATATGCATTTAGCAATTAGCAGCGATAGTGCGCAGCGATATATTAGATTCTGTTTAATTGGTTTTAGTAGCACAGGATTAGATGCGTTCCTATTGGGCCATTTTCCTGTGCCGGCCCTTCCTTACACATGGGCTTTTACCTTTCTCATTGCTCAGCCCACGTTCTATTTCCGTGTTTCCGTGCTTCTGTTCCACACGGAGCGGCGCTAGAAACACCGCTTGCCGTGTAAGCGCACGCCGGATTGGCCACCGTCTCCTGCCGCCGTACGTGGTAGTGGAGGATGCTTGGTGAAGTCTCTTCTCGGCTGCTGCGCACATCCCTCCTCTCCCCATTCTCTCCTCTTCGGTTTTCTTGGTGAGGTCGCCGGCGATTTCTCCTCCTTTCTTTTTCCTCTTTCTTCCTGCTGAGTAGCAGTCTAATCCAGTGATTTCTCCCTTTTTTTTTCTTCTTCCCCAGGGTTTCCTTCACCGTTCGGCTGCGCATTGCCTTCCCGTCGGAGCTACTTGCCTCAACGGTTTGGTCGGCCGCGTGCGCTCGGTCGGGAGGCCCTAGGGCCTCCACTTTATCTGCGAAGGTGATCCAATGAAAGCCTTCTAGATTACCTCCGATCCCATCGCTCCAATCCCTATTTCCGTCCGACCTCTCTCATCTAGCCTTCGCCTCCTCCAAAATCCACAATATGGTGTGCCGCTGATATGATTTTCCCCTCCCTCCTCACTAGAAATCGTTTCTTCCATTGGTGACCATGGTAATCCTCACCTCCTCCACCCTTAGGTACCTTCCTAGACGCTATCCTCGCATCTTTGACCAATAGCCACAACCAGGGTCTGCATCACGGCACGGGGACCTAGCCTCACAATCTAAGGTGAAGCAACAGCCATGGCTGCTATTATGCGAGAGGACCATAGGTCAGTACGAGTGGGGCTTCTCTCCCTTCTGCTTGTGCCATGCTGATTAGGTCTCTGTTCTGTTTTGGTCGTATGCTACCCTCACCCATCCTACTTTTGTTGGCATCCTATTCTATCTCTTTGATAGTTATCTTTAATGTTCTATGTTTACTATGCTAATTTGTGTGTGCATGATTTTATTCTTAATTGCAGCTGTAACTGCTGAATACATTACTGCCTTGCCTTTTCTGGTATGGTAACTGCTCTGGTAATCAGGTATAATATTCAAATCAATGATTCTATAGTGTGTTCGCGTTTCCTGCTTTTTTCTGTCTCAGTTAGCCATATCTTTTAGTGAGATCTGCTTCCCCCTCCATTGTTTAGTTTGGCATGGAATACATTTGGTTCTAGCTTCTCATACACTATTTCCTTTTGTTAGAGAAAATAGGATGCAGACAGACTCAGAACGCCATCTTCTCGAGCACATGATCTACACAAGTAGCCAATTCTGCACAAAGTTAAGTAAACTCTAAACTATATACATTGAATTTTGCTTCCCAATAGCAGTGTAGAAGATAATAGATTTTCTAATTGCTTTTCTTTGTATATGCTCATTACTGTCCTTGGTTTGTCCTTATTCATAACAAGATTGTTTGCCCATCCTTTTTCTCTACAAGATGGGCACATTTAAATGAACTATTTATCATTAATCCATGATGGAGATAATGCGTTGAAAGCTCAGTTAGTCTGTTGCTTATTAATTTAAGTTAACCATTTTTCTTAGGTCAATTATTATCTTACATTAACACAATAGAGAAAAATTTTCACTTTTGAGAGGATTCAACACAATGTTTCATTCAAACAAGCGCCTTCAGCAACTGTTCATAGAAGTGCATTCTTCTTCCGGAGCAATGTACAATGATTTAGGATTTGACAAAGTAATTTTCAATTTATCAGAACTGATTTCTCATAATTACATCTTCATTTCATATTGGCCAGAGCATTGCCAATGAGCGCGCTATAACTGTGGTATCCCAATCAGTGGCACTAAGTTTTAGGTTGACTGCAATGCTTTTTCTCTGCAGTTGCTCCTAACTGCAATTTCTTTTTGTCAAGCCTCATTGATGTATTCAACAAGTATCAGTTGCTGAAGCAAGTTCTGCTGCAGCACAAATCTAACAGTGTCAGGTTCTCATGTTCTTCTGGTTATACTTAGCATTCTTTAATGTCAATTTATCACATTTCTGGTTATAGTTTCTTACTCTTTTTTTACAGCATCTGTATGAAACAACAACAGTCATTTCATCATTCTTTCCTGCTGGTAGGAAAAATGTGGACTCATAACAAATGTCCAAAATTGGTGTGTTTCATTTGACCTAAATAGTAAAAAGATAGGCATTAGTACAGTTAGACATGGCTTGTGGGTAATTAGGCTTACCTACATGGTCATTAACTTAGCTATAAAGTTGTTGTTACTTGACAAGATCAGTTAACAGTGAATTGCCAGAACTAAGGCTTACAACTGGTACATCACTTCAGAGAACATACTTACTTAAACCCGCAATTTGCATGTACCGTATTCTTCAAATACGTTATATAAAATAGGGTCTTAATTCCTTTACATGCAATAATTCATAAAGTCTGAATTCATCTTCATCAGTGCTTTGGTCACAACCAATTGAAGCAGTAGTTGTAGATATTTCTTACCACACACATTTTTTATTGTAGTGTTCAAATAAAATAAATTCACTCTAAATATTTGCTTGACTAAAACTCAGTTACCTTTATTGCATTTCAGGATTTTGTTATAACCTGAAACATATTTTTTCGACCCTTTATAAAGTTACATGTCCATATTATATATTCATATTAATATTAGTTTATTCCAAACTACAGTACAAATAAAGAATTTAACCGTTTGGTAGTAATCAGTTGTTGAGCAAAGCTCCCAAATAGCATGTGTAATCAAGTTCTATTGTGTTGTATTCATGCTCTCAAATGGTGGTTACATCTTTATGCCACATTAACTTAGCTAAGCATTGACATTTGACAAGTGAAGTCCTTACATGATTACATATGATTTAATCTTTGTATAGATAAGTTATATAGCATATCCATAGGTTTTAGTTTTGACTTACACAAAGAAACTGCTATATTTAGTCACTGATTAATTCATTTATTTGTTGAGTTATTTCTCTCCTGTTGACTGCACTAATAATTGGTGCTTTATTCACTAGGTCAACATCTTCTCTGTTTATATATACCTTACCTTACCCATCTTTACGGAATCAGTCACTGCACTTGCATCTTTCCCTTTTCTCCATTGATACTATCCTCAATATATTAGTGTGGTAACACCGGTATATGTTCTATCGAATTGTATGATAGGTGATGCCTTGCTGAATGATATTGGCACGATTGGAAGGATAATAGAGCAAAGATTTACCTTTTGTTTTTATGGTGTCCTGGCCATGGCCAAACACGGGAGCTCTCCATACATTAGTTAATTTTGCCTAATTCTAATACCAATGTAATTGCAAGTTGACATTGATTTCAGACACCACTTTGTGTAAAGATATTCTGTAGAAGTTCTTTTATCCTACTTCAACCATTACATGCCGAAGCAAACATGTTTATGTTCTTGTGCGATCGATGTGATTCGGGTGAATGAAATTCAGACATTTGTCAGACCCATTACTTATAATGGGTATTCCTTCAAAGTCAATGGCAACGTCAACCGGGCGCAGCGTAGCACGCCAATATTTCTAGTATATTCTTATCAAAACACATACCAGTTCTCAACTAGTTAGGTTCATAAAAAGTTTCATAGGATACATATATAGAGTAACAGAGGCACCAATTACTATGGGCAAATCACACCAAATTGAGCTACATCATTTCTTTCGATTACAGAGTTCAACAACCAATTATGTTTGGAAAACTGCTGATTAAATATTAGGACGAAAGAAGATGAACCATGCATGCTCTAGGTTGATAGAATGCCTCAAGAGGCAACTTCTTTGGCATTGTAATCCCAGAGGACTCACCCATGTCCTCGAGCTCTTCCCCCACCCTTTCCCAATCAAAGCACTGGATCAGCGTCCCTAGTGTAAGTCCGACCATTTGCATCGCCAAATTCTCTCCCGGGCACCCCCTTCTCCCCATACCAAACGGGATCACCATCTTCGCTTCGTTTTGTCCATCCGCAAACCTATTAAGATGCTCTTTTTTTAGTACTAGTAACAACTTACACACAAATATATTGACAATGGGTTACATGTAAAGAGTAAGATGAAACGAACATTTGTATATGCATATATTGATATATACTACTCTATCCATTACTCTATCCATTTCATATTATAAGTCATTTGACTTTTTTTCTTAGTATGACTTTTTTCTTAATTAAACTTTTTTAGTTTGACCAGGTTATAGGAAAAATTAGTAACATTTTCAACACTAAATTAGTTTAATTAAATTTAACATTGAATATATTTTGCAAATATATTTGTTTTATATTGAAAACTAGCTAGATGGCCCGCACAATTGCGCGGCTAGCACCATACAAAATTATACATTTTTTAATATGATTTTACTTAAAATTTCTTAAATAGCTATCTCATTGTACTAAGACTTTGAAAGTCCAAACCTTATCATCTTTATGCTTCTAATTTTATAGGTTTTAAAAGTCATACCAGTTACTACCCCTTACTTCCGTCATCTCATTCTTTATTTGCTTGCTCGATCTACCACTATTTCTATTCATTCTCCTTGGAACCTTTAAAAATTGGATCTTATAACTTTTAGAGTTTACCCATCAAACGCTAACATTATACTTCTCTACGGCCTATCCACTGTTTCTTCTCTTTATTATCATTGCCATTTTAAAAATCAAACATAGTGATTGTTTGAGTTCATTTTTTACTTTCTAAAAGTCCCACCAAACCGTCAGCGGCTTTGCCAGTGTACTCCTCTATGGCTCGTCCGCCACCTCCTTTATTTATTGTCATTGAGATTTAAAAATCGAATATGATTATCACTGGGTTTTTTTTTCATTTTTTGAAGTCCCGAATCTTTAAAAATTGGATACTATAGTTTTTAGAGTTTATTATCTTTTATTATCTTGTTGGGTTTCATTTTTTAGGATTTTTAGAAGTCCCATCAAACGCTGCCACTACACTCCTCTACGGCCCATCCGACGCCTACTCTTATTGTCATTGGGATTTTAAAAATCGAACATAACTATCATTGGAATTTATTTTTTATTTTCTAGAAATCCCGCCAACCGTCCGCGGCTATGCAACTATACTCCTATACACCCCGCCCGCTGGTTCTCCTTTTATTGTCATTGAGATTTTAAAAATCGAATATGATTATCAATGGGGTTTATTTTTTTACTTTCTAGAAGTCCCGGCAACCGCCTTGCACGTTTGCTTCACGGCATGCCTGTCGTCCCTCCTTTTAATCGTCATTAGGATTTTATTTGGTGTTTTATTAACAGTTTTTATATGTCGTATCAACCGCCACCACCCTACTCATTTATAGGCATGTTACTTAATTTATCTTATCATGTGTTTTAAATGGTTTTTTATTTCAATAATCTTTATTTTTATCACCAAAATTAGTTATTTATAAATCGTATTCCTAATTGAAATCTTATTTTTCTTTTTCTAATTTCATAATTTATTTTTTTTTCAAAAATTTTAATTAATACCGTATTGTGTTCTTTTAATATTTTTATTTTTTATTTTCAATTTCAGTTGTTTCAAAATTGTATTCCTACTTGAATTCTCTTTTAGTTTTTCTAGTTTTGGATATTATTTTATTTTTTATTCTAAATTTTAATTAATCTTGTATTGGGTTCTTATATGCATTCTTCGTTCAATATTGCTTATTTTTAATTCTGAATTTCAGCTAATTTTAAATTGTATTCCTACTTGAAATCTTCTTTTGTTTTTTTTTCTAATTTTGGGTTTTATTTTTATTCCGAATTTTAATTAATCTCGTATTGGGTTTTTATTTCGACTCTTCTTTCAATATTCCTTATTTTTAATTCCGAATTTAAGCTATTTTTAAATTGTATTTCTACTTGGACTCTCCTTTTTTCTTTTTCTCTGATTAATCTTGGAATTTCTAGCCCCCACAACGAACGTGGTGCCTCCTTTCAAGTATGCTTTAATAATATAATAGATGTTACTATATATTTTTAACAAACTTGGCTAAATTTAAAAAGTTTGACTTAGAAAAAAATCAAATGATTTAGGAAAAAGTACGAATTATCCCCCTGAAGTATTGAGTGAGTACGAATTACCCCCCTAAACCTAAAAACCAGTCATTTTTCACCCTCAACTATCTATACCGGACGAAACCCCCTCCCCCCCAAGTAGCTTTACAAGCGGTTTTGGTCTACGTGGCAGCCCAGTCAGCAATTCTTTTCTTTTTAAATCAGCGGGCCCCACATGTCAGTCTCTCACCCTCTCTTTTACCCCTCACCTCTCTATCTCTCTCCCAAATCCTCACTCTTCTCCCTCCCTCACCTCGAGGACGACGACGAGGGCGGTGGAGCTCGGGACGGCTAGAGGAGCTCAGGACGATGGCGGGCGGAGTGGGTGGCGACGAAGAGGGCTCCGGCAGCCACCGGCGCTCGGGACGGCGGTGTGGGCGGAGTGGGCGGCGGCGAAGAGGGCTCCGGCAGCCACTGTCGCTCGAGACGGCGGTGAGGGCGGAATGGGCGGCGGCGAAGAGGGCCGCTTGGCGAGGAGGCCGTTGACGTTCCCGTGCTCCGCCATCCGCCACACGCGGTACAACATCACGAGGCTGCTTGACTCGTCGTCCAGGGCATCGGGCTTGATGCGGTCATGGTCGACAACATCGTCATCGTCGCTGTCTTCCACGAACTGCGCCATGTAACCGGAGACAAGCCGAGCATTCATGCCGAAGGCGAACGTGCTGCTCGCTCGCCACGACGCGAACAAGCTTGAACAGGCCCGCCGCCTTCGTTTCCCGTGCCGAGCGACATGTGCCCATGCCCGAGAGAGAGGGAGTCCTGGTGAGGGGAAGCAGACCGCGAGCCACGGGCTGCTACCTCCGGCGACGCCGCCTCACCTCGCGCCCTCCCCGCGTTCCGCTGCTGCCCCCGCGCACCGACTGCTCATCTGCCACAGTGCACCGCCGCCAACCGCTCGTCCGCGCGCGCCACTGCCCATCGCTCGTCCCCGCCCCCACCTCTCATTGCGTGTGCCAGCCCGTCCGCCACCTGTCCACCCCGCGTGCCGCCGCGCACCGCCCATCCGCTGCCGCGCACCGCCGCCCACCGTCCGCCCCCGCACACTGTCCACCCGTCCGCCGCCGCTCACCACCAGCCGCGCCCTGCCGCTGCCGCTCGCGCCGCCGTCCGCTAGTCGCCAGCCGCTCGCGCCGCCGCCGCTCACGCCGCCGCCCAGGCGCCCACTTCCTGCCCCCTGCATCAGGTGCATATGTGTGTGAGAGAGAGAGAATAGAGAGAGGAAGAGGGGAAAGGGAGGTATGCATGTGGGTCCCACATTTTTTTAAAATAGGAATTGCTGACTGGATTGCCACATAGGACAAAACCGCTTTAGATTGGATCAAGGGGGTTATTCGTCCGGTTTTGAAAGTTCGGAGTGAGCAATGTCTGGTTTTTGAGTTCAAGGGTGTAATTCGGTAGACCGCAATAGTTCAGGGGGTAATTCGTACTTTTCCCAATTATTTATAATATGAACAGAGTAAGCACTAAGAAGATGGATACCTGTCTGGGAAGAAGGATTCTGGTTCATCCCAAACCTGTGGATCTCTGTGAATAGCAAACGTGTTCACCAGCAGCATCGTCCCCTTGCGGACGTGGAAGCCGGCGACGTCGCAGTCGGCGGACGACTCGTGCGCGAGGAGCGGCACCGGCGGGTACAGCCGGAGCGTCTCCATCACGACGCACCGGAGGTAGTGCAGCTTGGGGAGGTCGGCCGCCTCCAGCAGCCGCGCCGCCGGCTGCCCCACGCACGCGTCGATCTCGCCGCGAGCCCTCGCCATCGCGCCGGGGTTGTTCAGCAGCAGCGACATCGCCCACTCCACCACCGCCGCCGACGTCTCCGTCCCGGCTTGCAGGGATCCCTGGCCGGAGAAGAAGAAGAAGAAGAACGCACAGGTGTTCGTCCGTTAGAGGAGCAAACGTCGCGGCATGCAGCTGGTTGGTATACTCACGATGCAGAGGGCGCGGATGAGCTGGTCGGGGCACGCGTCGGGGTCCTTGCTCTGCAGGGAGAGGAGCACGCCGATCATGGTTCGCCGCCTCGGCGCCGGAGAGTGGTCGCCGGCGGCGGCGTTGTCGTCGTCCGTCTTCTCCTTCGTCCTGTGGTCGGTGATCAGCCGCTGGTAGAACCTCGTCCGGCTGTCTGACAGCTCCCGCATCCGCCGCGTCAACCTGCGCGCGAACAGCCAGCGCGCCGCCGCCGGCAGGAAGTCCCACGCCGTCGACGCGCCGCTCAGCTCCATCGTCTCCTTCACCACCGACCTGAACCACCGCGCCTCCTCGCTCACCTCGTCGTCGCCGTCGCCGTAGAAGGTCCTGTCGCAGATCATGGCCATCATGATGTTCATGAACAGCTCGAACAGCCGCGACTTGAGCTCCACCCGCGGAGGCGGCGGCGGCGGCCGCCCGCCGGTAGAGACGGCGCGCCATGGCGCGCACCTCGCGGGCGTTGACGCCGGCGAAGTGCTGCACCCGGTGCGCGGAGAGCAGCTCGGTGACGGTGATGCGGCGGATGTGGCGCCAGTACGGACCGTAGCTGGCGGTGCCCATGGTGGACCACTCGTACGACAGGATCTCCCCGGACGGCAGCCGCGGCTTGTCGGCGAACGCGAGGTCGTGCGGGCCGAGGCACTCCTCGGCAGCCGGCGCCGACGACACGACGGCGACGCGGCGGGACCCGAACCGCAGGCCCATCACGGCGGCGGCGCCATGGCGAGCCGCGAGCCGCGCCAGGGTGCGGTGCAGCGGCCTCCGCAGGAGGTGCAGGTGTCCCACGACCGGCAGCGCCACGGGCCCCGGCGGCGGCCGCCGGCGCCGCTCCAGCCGCGAGAGCAGCGCAGGCGCAGCCACCAGCAGCAACACCATGAGCGCGACGAGGACGCCGCCGGACATGGCGTCGACCATGACAGCTGGCGCAGAGTCGCCTCCTAGTAGCGGTAGCACTAGCACAGCTCGATCGCTAGCTGCCGGACCAATGTGCATTCATTATACCAGAAAGTACCGCATGCGGTCTACCAAGTACTCCTTCAGTAGATATTTATACACAAATATAATAATATTTATAATATCAAATTAGTTTTATTAAATCAATAATTGAATATATTTTTATAATAAATTTGTGTTGGGTTGAAAATATTTTTTTTCTATAAATTTAGTTAAACTTTAAGCAGTTTGACTTTAACCAAAGTTAAAACGTCTTATAATCTGAAATGGAGGGAGTAACTTATTATTATTTTTTTTATAAAATTTAACAAGATGGATTAAAATTGATATAAGCCAACTTGTAATTCCAAATTCTATATAAATGGTATGTTTAGATTATAGTTAATTTAAATCTTACCAAATTTTAAATTTTGGCGGTGTCAAAATTTTGACAATTTAACAATATTACCAAGTTTTAGCAGGATTTCTTATGTATTTAGCATAGTTTGGTAAAAAAAAACTAAATGGTGCACAAATTTGACATTTTAAAAAAAATGATATATGATTTAAAATGGCATTAATCTGAACAGCACTAGATATAAATATAATATTTTTTATTTGAACTGCATATGTAGTATTCGTTGCACGATTATTTGTTTTTCTCTCTAGTCGTATCGATCGTCTTGTATGTTTTTTTACATACTTATATCATCATTACCAATTTCTTTTAATATAGTATCTATTTAATTGTTATGGAAACAGCGGGCTGCTATGATTACACGTACGCTAGCAGGGTGTATAGAACAATAGTCAGACATCACATCCCCTAACACATCGCCACTAGAAATTTTTGTTGCGGAGCAGAGAAAGAAGTAGCAGACTGCGACTGATGCCGTGGTATATGTCACTCGGTGCGTAAGCTAACTAGCTTTTTCCCGATGGAAAAATGGAAGCTGCTACTAGTATACTCCCTCCGTCCTAAAATATAATAATTTTTAGCCTTCAGAATTTATCATAAAATATAGCAACTTCTTCACCAACATTCTCTTCCTAACCAATCATAACCCTCCACCATTCACTTTTTCCACCTACCTCCCATACTCATCCAATCGCAACCCTCAACCACTCACTTCTATCTACTTTCTTAGTAACCGTTTTCAACTCTAAAACTTATTATATTTTGGGACGGATGGAGTACTCTTTATGTCCCATAAAAACCAACTAATACTGATGTGACACATCATAATACTATTAATATTTATTATATCTAAATTCGTAATATTAGGATATATCACATCCGGTATTAGATTGTTTTTTATGGGATGGAACGAGTATTTGAGTAGTGATATTATTAGTATGATGTTACTTGTCGACATCAACAGTGCTATAGTCACAGCCACAGCCGTAGCCAGCATACCGAACAGGCCCACGGTATGTTTGCTCCCGAAGATTTCACCTGAATAGTGGGGTGCATGCATGCTTTTTGGTGTCAAATTGAGAGGACGCTAGGTCCAATGCAGCAAAACGACGTTCTCCCTAGCGGCGTCAAGTCAAACATTTTTAACTTTGACTATCAATAGTAAAAAAATAAAAAAAACTTAATCATGAAAAATTGATGTTACTAGCTTTAACATTAAACAAACTATCATAATATGTAACTTTTTTTATTTACAATATCTTATTTTATAGATATTGTTGATCAAAGTAGCATCTTAAAGACTGTGTCAAAAATCCAAAAATACTTATATTTTGGGATGGGGGAGTATTTCCCTAGTCGAGGCAGGGCTCACCTCTTCACCTCCCCCACCTAGTCTTTGGCCCTAGTGGTGGCCTCCCAGAGCCCAACCGATGGTGGCTGCCTCTCCTTTTAATGTAGATGAATTTTTACAATCCTAAAGAAGGTACCACGAGGTACCAGGTACCGATCGAATCTGGTCATTGATTTCATAGGGGTAAGATAGGGAAAAGTACATTCTGTAACCGATGCTATCCGCTCATCCTTAGAGCTTATTGATGGTCCTTAAATATCAAATTCGACTATCAATTCCTAAATAAAAACAATGAAAGAATACAATAAAATGACAAACTTAGAGGTAGTTATTATTACTAACCATTTCCACAAGTCTTGGTGAATATTTGTATGCAGGTGAAATATGGATGAAAATTACCCACCTTGCGATGGAATACACCTCCGTATAATAGGACGCGAGTATACATATTGGAGGGCCCACAAATCAGTGCATAACTGACATATTCAAGGGCTAATCACCGTGCACTGCCGCAAGGACCCACCAGGCAGCTTCCCGAACCACCTTTACGGCCGCTCATTCCCACCTCCACATGGAGTTTCCCACCGACTACAAGACTTCATCTGGGCCATGCATTGGTGAAGACGGTGAATCCAAGGGTCGCCCAAACTCCTAGTTCGGCCAAACTGTCATTGGCGCCCCTCACCATCTGCTTCCATGTGGAGGGCTAATGTTCACTCTCAATGACGGTTGTGGGTGAAACCGATGTCCACAACCACCATAACTGCCCTATAAAAGGATGTGTTCATCTAAATCTCAAATGGCACAACAAGTGAAGTACAACTGACTTACACATTTAGTCTACTCTATAGTAGAGTTCTAATATAGGAAGAGAGTGAGGGGAAGCTTCGGAAGGAGTGCCCGAATGGCGGCTTTCTCTCTGGGATGTTCTAGAGATGTTGGCCTACATTCGGGATAGTTCTGAAGGAGCGCCAGAGTTGTTGGTCCTCTCTCCAATCTTGTATCTCGAGAATGTTTCTTCGATATAAGTTATTTGTGATATCATTTTAGTATTTAGTTTACTTACTTAAGTCAGATATATTCTCATCGTTGTGGTTTCGCCGCTTAGTTTATACTGAGTGCTCTAGAACAAAGACTCTAGATAAGGAAGAAGATTTTTGCCCGAGGCTAGAGTAGTAATTAATTAATAACGTATACGTAGTGTCTAGGTTAAAGGTTACCTTCGTTTATTGTGTGCTCTATAGAAAGTGAGGTAGGCGGTAGATGGTGATAGCTCTGTCAGTCCCTTGTATCTCTCCACGTTTAGGTATATCATAGAGCTACATGGCGGACTCGTCTTGGTAGACCAAGGGAGAGCCGTTACCCGAAGCATTCGATAGGATTAACTCCTGTTAGAGTTAATTAATTCATATGAATCCTCTTTATCCTAAGCTTACTATTCATTGTTGTCTTTGGTTGAATTATTTCTTAAATATACACACATACATATCCTGTGATTCGATACCGTTGGCATACTTATAGTGGTGGTATAGTGGTATCCGTGCGCTTACAGATTAATTTATATGTGACCAAATACCAACAATGCTACATTCTCTCATGAGCAAGCGCTCCAAATTGGTGGCTTTCATCCAGAAAATTTATTCGGCATGTAGAAAGTAGAGCGATTAAAAAAATCCTCTTTCCTCGAAAAAAGAATCCTCGAGGTTTAGCCAAGAACAGCCTGACGAAGCATACCATTATCACGTAGCCTTTCAGCTACAGAAAATTGCTCTTACTAAAACTCCAAAGAGTCTGAACAAAAGGGAAAGATGAACAAAAGCCATGCATCTATCTAGTAGCAGCAACTTCTCATGTCTATATTAGTGTCAATCGTACTTCTACATACTGAATAATAATACTAATATGCATCTATTTGATGCTAGCTGTTGCTGTTCAATCAAAGGTTCAGTTGTAGCTTGCTTCTCAGCATATGTTGTGATCTGCTTTCTTCTTCGTGTATGCAACATCACTCCTTGGCACCAGAAGGTTGCTGAGCGTCCTCGCTATCTTATATACCTATATAGTTCATTCTCACTTAGTTTATGCTATTTTTTTTCTCTCATTAAGTTATATCACATTAATTATTTTTAGTCTTTAGATGATTAATCTATGGTTCGAATTATCTTTTTTTTCTCTCATTAAACCATATCATCTCAATTTTTTAGCCCTTAGATATATGGTCTAAATTATCTTTCTTCTTTTGTTCTTTCATAAAACCACATCATCTTACTTTCGGTGGCGGAGCCACCATGATTCCCGGGAATACCCAACACTTTTTATCAAAAAATAAGTATACTTCTAATATATACACATGTACACATATTTGTACACCTAAATCCTCAACTCTTTTATCCAAACACAGCCCAACTAGTCTCTTGCGATGCCTCCAACCAACCCGACCCACTCCATCATGACCCATCAGACATCAATTGACCCACTTAGCCACCACTTTTCCAGACAGCCCCCTCTCGCTCTCCCTCCATGACCCATCCCTCCCTAGCTCGGCTCCCTCGCGCCACTCCCCATTTGCAAACCCTAGGTGGCGGCGCGGCGAGACAGCAATCGGCGGCGGGAGCTAGACCGTGCTACCGTGGAGGGGGAGGCCATTGCCACGGCGGGCAGCGCCCGACACTCCGCCAAGCTAAGGCGGTCAGGTCGGTTGGGTGGCCGGCGGCCGCGAGAGGCAGGGACGGGCAACGGCTCAGCGCTTAGACGGGAATACCCAACTTTGAAATCCTAGCTCCGCCACTGCTTACTTTTCTATTTGAATCATCATCTTACATACTATTTAAATTTAAATCACATCGAATGATATAAACTTATGTTTTTATGTTTGTGTAAACTTATGTTGTTTAAGCAATCTTACATATTATTTTTACTTAATATTATAGTAAACTCCAGCCGGGGTTCCATCTTTACATAGAGTTCGTTTGCCCAGTTGACAAGCTGTTGCTCACTTGCTTGTCATTACAGTCCAAGCATCTGTGCGACCAAAGGTTGATGTCATCGGCGCAACACCGAAGAGCTTAGGAAGGTTCTCAAGCCTAGGAAGGGAGGCGAGCTGTAGTGATTCGATCTCAGTTTAATAATTCAACGTGCTTGACAGATTTAGATAAGTTCAGGACATATTCGGATTACCCCATCCCCCTTATAACACAGATTATCCATACTGTATGCAGCCAGCCAGCCACGATAATAGGATCCACTTAAGTACTTGCCAGAATTTTCTAGTTGACAAAGCCACAATTGGTAGAGGTGAATCTTGGAAATTTAAAGAAGATGAACAGCCCAATTATCTTTGAAACCGCACTTGCCCGATTATTCCTTACATTACAAAAGTTGAACAACAAATTATTTTTTATGGTGCTGACTAAATCTTCGTAAGAAGATCAACCATGGAAGCTCGAGGTTGATAGAGGGCCTCGAGAGGCAACTCCTTTGGCATTGTAAGGCCAGAGCACTCCCTCATGTCAACCAGCTCTTCCCCAACCCTTTCCCAATCAAAACACTGGATCAATGTCCCAAGGGCAAGTCCTACCATTTGCATCCCCAAATTCTCTCCTGGGCACCGCCGTCTCCCCATACCAAACGGGATCACCATCTTCCCTTCGTTTTTTCCATCCGCAAACCTGTTAAGATATATTCTTAGTAGTTCATAACAAGTTGTGAATGAATTTTAGTAAATGTAAAGAACATGATGAAACTTGAAAAGAACATTTATATGTGATATATATATATATATATATAGATTAATATCAAACTTTAAAATTTTTAAATATAAATAATTTCTAAAGTATTGTCTTAGAAATATAGATATCCTACTTCAATAAAAACCATAAATTTCTTTATATTTTCTATATATATTAGAATAGAAAATAGTGATTAAATTTGTTTTTAGATTATGTTATTTTTAAAAAAAACCAACGAGTATTATCGGAGGGGGAAATAGTACAGTACCTATCTGGGATGAAGGCTTCTGGTTCATCCCAAACCTGGGGATCCCTGTGAATGGCGAACGTGTTCACCAGCAGCATCGTCCCCTGGGGGACGTGGAACCCGGCGACGACGCAGTCGGCGGACGACTCGTGCGGCGCCAGCAGCGGCACCGGCGGGTACAGCCGGAGCGTCTCCATCACGACGCACCGGAGGTAGTGCAGCTTGGGGAGGTCGGCCGCCTCCAGTAGCCGCGCCGCCGGCTGCCCCACGCACGCGTCGATCTCGCCGCGAGCCCTCGCCATCGCGCCGGGGTTGTTCAGCAGCAGCGACATCGCCCACTCCACGGTCGCCGCCGACGTGTCCGTCCCGGCTTGCAGGGAGCCCTGGCCGGAGAGAGAGACGAAGTAGTTAAAGCAAGGTGTTCGTCCGGGGATGACGCGCGGCGGCGGCGGCGGCGGCCGGTACTCACGATGCAGAGGGAGCGGATGAGCTGGTCGGGGCACGAGTCGGGGTCCTTTCTCTGCAGGGAGAGGAGGACGCCGATCATGGTCCGCCGCTTCGCCGGCGCGTGATCGTCGGAGTCGGCGTCCATGTCCTTCCTCTGGTCGTCGATCAGCCTCTGCAAGAACCTCGTCCGGCTGTCGGACAGCTCCCGCATCCGCCGCGTCATCCTGCCGGCGTCCAGCCAGCGCGCCGGCGCTGGTAGGAAGTCCCACACCGTCGACGCGCCGCTCAGCTCCATCGTCTCCTTCACCACCGACCTGAACCACCGCGCCTCCTCGCTCACCTCGTCGTCGTCGCTACATAAAACAAAGGTTACGAATGCGTCACGCATGGTGTCATGATTAATCACTCCTAATCTTGCCCGATCTTACGCGCCGTAGAAGGTCCTCTCGCAGATCATGGACATCATGGTGTTCATGAGCAGCTCGAACAGCCGCGACTTGAGCTCCACACGCGTGCGCGCCCCCGCGGCGGCCGCGGCGGCGGCCCGCCTGTAGAGGCGGCGCGCCAGGGCGCGCACCTCGCGGACGTTGACGTCGGCGAAGTGCTGCACCCGGTGCGCGGACAGCAGCTCGGTGACGGCGATGCGGCGGATGTGGCGCCAGTAGGGCCCGTAGCTGGCCGTCCCCATGGTGGACCACTCGTACGCCAGGATCTCCCCCGACGGCAGCCGCGGCCGGTTGGCGAACGCGAGGTCGTGCGGGCCGAGGCACTCCTCGGCGGCGGGCGCCGACGACACGACGGCGACGCGGCGGGACCCGAAGCGCAGGCCCATCACGGCGGCGCCGTGGCGCGCCGCGAGGCGCGCCAGGGTGCGGTGCAGCGGCCTCCGGAACAGGTGCAGGTGCCCCACCACCGGCAGCGCCACGGGCCCCGGCAGCGGCCTCCCGCCTCCCCGCCGCCGCCGCCGCCTCCACCGCCGCAGCGCCGCAGCAGCCACCACCACCGCCAGCAGCGCGACGGCGACGCTGCCGAACATCGCGTCGACGGCCATGACCTAGCTGATCGGGCGCGCGGGATCGATATGGTTGGAGTGCATGCACTGCGGTGTGTGCTTCGTTTGCTCGCAGGGTGGGTGCATGAGTTTATACTGCTGCAATGGCGTAAAAAATAAATGAAGTCATCCGGCGGCATGTGCATGTGCCGCGCCGGTTTGGGCGGCGGCGACGAGCGGCTGACGTCGCCGGCGGTGGGCGAGCCGTGCGGGGCTCTCCGGTGTCCAGACACCGGCTCACCTCATCACTGTCGATAGGGCTAGCCAAGGACACATCTTGTCCGGTGGAGGCGGTGACACGTTGTCCCCAAGTGATTAATTATTTCTTTTTTTTTAGACACATGTGATTAAATTTGTTGCTGTGCAAGGGCATTCTATGACTGATATAGTGATGGCATTTTGCTTGCTTCGGTGCCTTAACTGGCTGTTTGCTAGTTGGAGTATGATATGCGATTTTTTTGGGGTATAAAATTGGTTCAGTAGGCCTACTGAATCAATAATGTTGGGTGTATTATTTGGCATAATGTTGGCTGTTCTGTGAAGGTATTGAGCAAACGTTATTTGTCCTTAAATTCAAAGGTTGATAGGAGTAGTAGCTGCTTAGAGCATCTTTCAGATCATGGAGTGCTATATGGATATGGCTATCCCAAGACACGCCGTTTTTGGCATGGATATGGTCTTTAAGGTGCAGTGACTTAACTTTGGAGTAGTTTATTACAAAATTTTTACAGAGCCCAATAAAATTATAATATTACTTTTTGAGACAAACATACAGATACTGTTTTCCATGTGTCTAATCTAAAACATTTTAAAACGTAGATAGGATAAGTACATACTGTGTGTTTAAGTCCGACCAAGTAGTCCATAATGGATCTCGTGTGTTTTTTTGCCTACTAGCTACTCTTAGCCAAATATAGTCAAGCACTGAAGAAACAGAGAAAAGAAACACCTGAACAATTCAGCATGGATATCCCTGTTATTCTGTCAAGTTTCAGTGTCATGATATATAATTTTTCTTTTAATTTATGGCTGGTGGGCTGCCGTTTTCATTCATTTGGAGTAGTGAATTACATGGATAAGAAAGTAAAAGGGATTGGGCCAAGAACCACAAGCTGAGCCCAGAGTCCGATAACAACAGGCCTCGTACATCAGTCACAAAGGACTAAGGGCATGTTTAGTTGGTGAAATGAAAATTTTGGGTGTCACATCAAACGTTTGACCGGATGTCTGAAGGGGTTTTCGAACATGAATGAAAAAACTAATTTCATAACTCGCCTGGAAACCGCGAAACGAATCTTTTGAGCCTAATTAATTCATCATTAGCACGTGTGTGTTACTATAGCATTTATGGCTAATCGTGGACTAATTAGGCTCAAATGATCTGTCTCGCGGTTTACATGCAAACTGTGCAATTAGTTTTTCTTTTTATCTATATTTAATGTTTCATACATGTGTCCAAAAATTCGATGTGATGTTTTTGGAACTAAACAGCCCCTAAGAAAAAAAAGTTCGAGATGGAATGCCACCAAATTCCGCGGATCTTCTCCCTCCATATTATTTATTAGGCTATATAATCCTTCCAACATCACATACTATTTATTACTATCATGTTTGAAAGTTTGCTCTCTCTTCTTACTTAGGCTGTGTTCGCTAGAACAAGTTACCATCTGGAATGTGATCATGGAAAACAGAGCGGTTTATTAGCACGTGATTAATTAAGTTTTTTTTAAAAAATGGATTAATTTGATTTTTTAAGCAACTTTCGTATATAAACTTTTTGCAAAAAAACACACCATTTAGAAAAAGCATGCGCGTGAAAAACGAGGGAGAGGGGTTGGGAAAAGGGGCATCCGAACACAGCCTTAGTAGTCCACCAAGTGTTCTTACATATGGCTTTTGAGATGAAGAGATGCACTTATTTTCATTTTTTTAACAAAAACAATTCCATGATTTCTAAAGTGATACCTTATCATGCCAATTCGATCAACTATCCAAAAGTTTGATATAGTATTGTGTAATTAATTAAAGCTAGAGTAAAATGCACTAGCGGTACTTAAATTTGTCATGAGGTTTCATTTAGGTACACGAACTTGTAAAACACACATCGAGGTCCCTAAACTTAGTTTATTGTATCATCCTGGTCCAAAGCGTTGTTTGATCGTGGTCTTATCTACATGGCATGCCACGTGGACGATGACATGATGTTTTTTTTTCATTTCCCCTTTTCTTTTTCCTCATATTCTTTTATCTTCTTCCTCCACAAGAGCCACCTCGAGCTCCCCCGCGTCGAAGAGGCCGAAGAAGAGAAAAATGAAAGAGGAAGAAGGGAGGAAAAAAAGAAATAATAGTAATAATGTGCCATGTCGTTGTCTACATGTCATGCCATGTAGGCAAGATCACGATCAAATGAGACTTTAGACCGGAATGATACAATAAACCAAGTTTAGAGACTTCAATACACACTTTGCAAGTTCGTGGACCTAGATGAAACCTGCTTACCAGTTTAAGAACCGTCAATGTAATTTACTCTTAAAGCTAATAAAGGAGATGCATCAGTGACGCACGAGGTTGATAGAAGGCTTGCAGAGGCACCTCCTTGGGCATGGTAAGACCAGATCCCTCGGTCATGTCTACTAGCTCCTCTCCAACTCTTTCCCACTCAAAGCACTGAATCATTGTCCCAAGGGCAAGACCTACCATTTGCATGCCCAAGTTCTCTGCAGGGCATTTGCACCTCCCCATGCCAAATGGGATTGCCATCTTCCCTTCACTTCTTCCATTCTCAAATCTATAGAAACATAATATGCTATAATTTAATACGCCCGTACATATATATAGCATTTTTGAAAGAAATTGATACCGATACCTTTCAGGGATGAAGCTTGTTGGTTCATTCCATACTTGAGGATCTCTGTGAATGGCAAATGTGTTTACAAGAAGCATTGTCCCACGGGTAATATGAAAACCAGCAATTGAACAATCAGTAGACGCTTCATGAGGCACAAGAAGTGGCGCTGGCGGGTATAAGCGGAGTGTCTCCATGATAATGCACTGGAGGTATTGTAGTTTTGTGAGGTCACTCGCCTCTAGTAGCCTACTGGTTGTCCTATGAATGCATCAATTTCGTCACGAGCTTTTCTCATCACATTCGGGTTGTTTAGTAGGAGAGACATTGCCCACTCAATTGTATCAGCTGAAGTATCTGTTCCGGCTTCAAGGGAACTCTGGAGAAATAAAAAACATGACAATATTATCATTTTGATATATTTATCATGGAAATATTTTTCATAAAAAGATTAAAAATAAGATGCATGGGAATATTTTTCATATAAATCTAACATTATCATTTTGATATATCACTATTTTAGAATGAAGGAAGTATGTTTTGGGGAATATTATATACAATTGGAGTTTTCTTCTAATATTGTAGATGCAATTTAGTTATATATATGTGTTTGTGGAATGATATGTGATGATATAATTTATATTGTTTACTTTTTTCACAATTGTCCATCTATTTCGATATGGGTCTTGAACTATTAATTTAATCATAATGAACACAATTATGCAAATGGATTAAAAACTGGATACTTATGCAAAATTCAAAAGTAATGGTTTGTTTAAAACCCATCATGCAAATCATGGTTTATGCATGGGTGCTGCTTGTCTAGGTGCTCAAGGAGGGGAGAAATTAAAGGGATGTGGCTTTGCAACCCCCTTTTGAGATAAATTTCAATGATCCGTTCAATGATTTAAGTGGAAACTGAAGTTTGAATTATTTTTTTTCATTTCTAGATTTTCTTTATTAGAAGCGCCAATACAAGTCATACAAATGGTTTAGTAGATCATAGTTTATTTACTCCATCTATTTCATATTACAAGTATCTTTGATTTTTTTTCCTTAGTTAAACTTCTTTAGATTTGATTATTTTTTTAAAAAAAATAGCAACATCTACAATATCAAATTAATTTCATTAAATAGAATATTGAGTATATTTTGATAAAATGTTTATTTTATATTAGAAATATTGCTATTTTTTGTAAGCTTTAATCAAACTCTGACTTAGAAAAAAAAATCCAAACGACTTATAATATGAAATGGATTATGAAATGGAGGGAGTAGATACGAGGGGAAGAAGGTGGCGAGCGCGGCGTGCACACGTGTATGGGTGGTGTGTATGCGGTGGTATGGGAGTGGAGAGGGGCGTACGTAATCTATGTGTGCTTGTGTGTGTATTAGCAGCTCACGTGACATCATACACTCGTTTGATTGCAATCACTTTTTTTCCACTATATGATTGGTACTCCCTCCATCCAAAGAAAAAAAAAGCCAACCATGTGTCCTCTTCTATTTACTACGAATCTAGACAAAGGGCTGTCTAGATTCATTGTATTAGTAGGGATCTCCTCCTAGGTTGGTTTTTTTTGAACGGAGGGAGTAACTCTCTATTTATATCTCTTCCTTATTAACTTTTGTTTCTTTTCTTATCTACTTGTATGTCTTAATTTGGCCGGTATTTTTTTCAAAGATTTAAGTACATAATCAGTCCTCTTGACCTAGTTACTATGTACTAGAAAGATTATAGTGTAAGATTTAAAATTAATAGTATAAGTTTTCAAAATTATACCATACATATTTGAAATAACAATATATATATAAGGTACAAATTATACAATGTGAACACATGTTGCAAAATTTTGATCCCGACCCTTTTGTGAAACATATAATTTGGCATGTGAATATATATGTAGAAAAACAATTACGATGCACAATGAGCGGATGAGCTGGTCGGGGCACGCGTCGGGGTCCTGCCTCTGCACCGAGAGGAGCACGCCGATCATGGTCCGCCGCCTCGCCGCCGGCTGCGCACGGTCGCCGCCCTGCTCCTGCTCCATCTCCTTCCTCTCGTCGTTGATCAGCCCCTGCAGGAACCTCGTCCGGCTCTCGCGCAGCCGCCACAGCCGCCGCCCCACCCCTCCCACGTCCACCCACCGGAGCGCCGCCGGCAGGAAGTCCCACACCGTCGACGCGCCGCTCAGCGCCATCGTCTCCTCCACCATCTCCCTGAACCACCTCGCCTCCTTGCTCACCTTGCCGTCGTCGTCGCTACACAAGGCTTACAAATAAGTGACAGGTAGAATAAGATAGCCATGGTGACCATGGTGATCATGGCGATCGCCGATCGATCTTTAGCTTACTCGCCGTAGTACGTCTTGTCGCAGATCATGGCCATCATGGTGTTCATGAGCAGCTCGAACAGCCGCGACTTGAGCTCCACTCGTACGCGCGCCGCCCCGCCGACGCCATGGCGGACCGCCGCGCGGTGAAGGTGGCGCGCCATGGCGCGCGCCTCCCGGACATGGACGTCGGCGAAGTGCTGCACCCGTCGCGCGGACAGGATCTCGGTGACGGCGACGCGGCGGACGTGGCGCCAGTAGGGCCCGTAGCTGGCGGTGCCCATGGTGGACCAGTCGTACGACAGGATCCTGCCCGACGGCAGCCGCGGCCGGTCAGCGAACGCGACGTCGTGCGCGCCGAGGCACTCCTCCGCGGCGGGCGCCGAGGACACGACGGCGACGCGGCGGGACCCGAGGCGGAGGCCGAACACGGCGCCGCCGTGGCGCGCGGCGAGGCGCGCCAGGGTGCGGTGGAGCGGCTTCCTGAAGAGGTGCAGGTGGCCGACGAGCGGGAGGCCCGCGGGCTCCGGCGGCGGCGGCGGCACGTTCCCGGCGCGACGCTGCGTCCCGCTTCGTCGTACTCGGGCGGTCTCCATAAGCGCGATCAGCAGAAGGAGGAAGAGGGCAATGAGGAGGGCGTCCATGGCGGCGAGGTGAACTCGACGAGCATGTCAGTGACAGTGTACATATATATGCTTCCGCCACTGGTGTATATCGCTTTGCTGAAATGCAGGCTTCTGGAAATCTCAAGTATAATCAAGTGGTACTAGCAAGTTGGATCACCAAACTACTAATTCGTCAAACATAACACGGGACGCCCAATTGCCCAATTGCAATTGTGCAAGTGCCAAAGCGTGTGTCTTGGTTTTCTCGAAAATGCTATACGTCCAACCGACGCGTACGACCAGCGTACGGCTACGTCGGCCAAGCGTACGGCTACGTCATTGGCCGTCTGCCGTCCGTAACTTCTGCAACGATCGCTAATTCAATTGGGTTTACACCGTGTATTTCGCCGTTGAGTCGTACGCTGGTCGTACACGTCCGTCGGATGTATAGCAGAGTTGTTGTTTTCTTCGCTAATCAAAAGGTGTCGTGCACAATGTGTGCCATAACAAATTTTTTTTGTTTTATTACTTAGTTAATTACAGGGCAGCTTGCATTGTGATTCAGTACTCTCTCCAATCACAAATGCAACACGTTTTTTGCATGATAAAATCTTTGAAACTTTCATTTATTATTCCTACTCCCTCCATTTCATATTATTAATTGTTTGGCTTTTTTCCTAGTTAAGTTTGACAAAGTTTATAGAACAATTTAGCAATATTTAAAATACCGAGCTAGTTTCAAAAAATTTATCATTGAATATATTTTGATAATATATTTGTTTTGTGTTGAAAATACTTATATATTTTTCTATAGACTTGGTTAAACTTGACTAGGAAAAAAGTCAAATGACTTATAATATGAAACAAAGAGAGTACATGTTTTTGAAAGTTTGTTCTCTGTTCTTATGTTCTTATGAGTAGTCCACCACAAGAGTGTTCTTATTTATGGCTTTTGAGACGAAGAGATGGACTTACTTTCATTCTTGTTTGTAACAAAAACAATCCTATCATTTGTGAAGCAATACCTTATCATGCCAGTTGGATCAACGATCACAACACATTTCGATATTGCGCTATAACTAACAAAGCCTAAGAAAGAAGATGCATCACTGAAGCACGAGGTTGATAGAAGGCCTCCAAAGGCACCTTCTTGGGCATGGTAAGGCCAGATCCTTCAGTCATGTCCACCAGCTCCTCTCCAACTCTTTCCCACTCAAAGCACTGAATCATTGTCCCAAGGCCAAGGCCTACCATTTGCATGCCCAAGTTCTCTGCAGGGCATTTGCGTCTCCCCATGCCAAATGGGATTGCCATCTTTCCTTCACTTCGCCCATCCTCAAATCTGTAGAAACATAAATGTACGTAATTACACTTTATATAACATGGACATTCATGCAATAGTATAAAATTTTTGGAAGAATCCATATGTAGTACCTTTCTGGGATGAAGCTTGTTGGTTCATCCCATATATGAGGATCCCTGTGAATATCAAATGTGTTCACAAGAAGCATTGTCCCCCGTGGAATATGGAAACCAGCAACAGTGCAATCAGAGGATGATTCATGAGGGACAAGAAGTGGCGCCGGTGGGTATAGGCGAAGCGTCTCCATGATGATGCATCGAAGGTATTGTAGCTTCGGGAGGTCATCTGCCTCTAGTAATCGTACTGGCTGCCCGATGAATGCATCGATTTCATCACGAGCTTTTCTCATCACATCGGGATTGTTTAGTAGCAGAGACATTGCCCACTCAATTGTATCGGTTGAGGTACCCGTTCCGGCTTCAAGCGAACTCTTGAGAAAATAAAAAAAGGGGAAAGTATAATTATATGTAAACAAAACATGGATTGTGGGTTCACATAAATCTCATTCCTAAGTAGGGTTCACAATTTCCCCGCAAAAAAAAAGTAGGGTTCACAATTTTGGTTCAAAATTTGTGAATTTTAGTTTGTGTCTACACGTGGGTTGTGGGTCCCAATATGATGTTCTTCGGGCCAAAGAAAGTATTGTCAAATATAGCAAAAAAGACCTATTCAAAGTCAGGAAAAAAGATGTGTTCAAAATTCAAAATGTTTTCTTTAAAATTTCTGAGAGTTTTCCTAAATAACAATAATTGTTTGTGTGATGCATCAGTACAAGCTCGTGAAGAGAAGAACCCTATCACAAGTCCATTTGCAAGTCTGATTGGTAGACGAACACAACGAGCGGCGACTGGTGCGGGTGATCTCGGCGTTAGCCACATGCGCAGTCAACCTCCTCCTGCCACCCTCTCTCACACTGAGCCGGCCTCATGCCTCTTTCACTGATAGCCTCGCCTGCTCCTTCACTCGGCTACAGAGGATAATGGGATGGGAGAGAGGAAGAGGGTCGTGGGAGAGGGAAGGAGAAAGAACTTGATAAAGGATGACATGTGGATCTTATGGGATATCTTTTATCTTAATGACTAGGAGACCACGTAAGCGAGAGGTGACTAAAACTGTCCGAGGTTATGTTGAGAGATCTAAAATAAACTATTTGAATAGTTGATGGGATGTGTAGTGTTCTGTTTTGGGTGGATCTAGCTTTGGGCCAGAGGAAGGGCTCATTGCCTTCTTCCTAGCTCCTCCAACCCCCTACTCTCATTTCTCTCCCCGGGGTAGGAGGAACTCGAGTCCCCCTACATCCACACTGGATCCAACCCTGGTTTGAAGTGTGTGGTGGTTTTAGACTTTCTCTAAAGCTTAGGGTGTGAAATAGACTTCTACCATTAAAAACGATATAAAAGTTTGAATTCATGAGTTGGAAATTAGGGTTCCCATGGAAATTCAAAATTTTTACTAGAAAAGTTTAGAAAGTTCGAGCTGAAAGTTTGAGTGGTATTGTTGAAAGTTTTACAGTAGATTGCTAAAGGTAAAAAACTCACTGCTCAATTATCCACAGAAAATAAAAAAACAATCCCTCTATTTATGTGTTAGCGATGCTAAAAATTAAGGCTGTCAAAAGAGAAACTCTAGGCTCGTGAGCCACTTGAGCTCAGCTCATTCAGGCCCAGTTCGGGCTCAGCTAAAACTTCAAACAAGCTTAACTTTATATGACTTACGCTATTTATTTAGCTTGTTTATTTGTTAATTAAACTAATAGGTAAAATATGTATTAGTACTCCCTCCGTTTCTAAATATTTAACACCATTGACTTTTTTAAATATGTTTGACCATACGTCTTATTCAAAAAATAATTAATTATTAATTTTTTTCCTATCATTTGATTCATTGTTAAATATAATTTATGTATACATATAGTTTTACATATTTCACAAAATTTTTTTTAATAAGACGAACAGTTAAACATGTGCTAAAAAGTCAACGGTGTCAAATATTTAGAAACGGAGGAAGTATATATGTACATAATGATTCAGTTTGTGTTTGTACCATTTTTTTATTGATATGATTAGAAAAATAATTAATTTTATGAAAAGCATTCTTAAAATATATGTTATACACTTATATACTATATACTACTTACTGCCCAGCTCGACTGCATGAGCTCAAATTGAGCCTGCTTAATAGGGAAGTGGATTTTTTTTCCCTTGAGACAACATCCCCTTGTTTTGTGCATGGCGTTTAAAAAGTTATAAAAAATTTTAAAAAATTATCAAGATGGATCAATATGTGATATATCTTTTCGCAAACATGCGAGTTAAAATTAGGCTTATACAATTCAAAACAAAAATGACAAATTTGACCGTGAATTACATGTTCTATTAATAGTTAAATTTGTTATTTTTGTTTCTATTTGTATAAGTTAAATTTGAATTTGCATGTTTATAAAATGACATATCACATTTTGATCTATCTTATTAATTTTTTTTATGAGGAGATATCTTTTTTAAGGGATGAATTGAGTTTTAATAGCTCCAATGCGGAAATAGGCCGGACCTAGAACTAGGGTTTAATATTTCGTTTTTTTCTCCATTTGTATCGAAGGTGACAATATTCCAAAATTATTTTTTTAACAAAATTTGGTGAAATGTGAACAAATACCGCCAAATTAAAAAAATCGGTTAAAATAATATCATTTTTTATGGGGGTGGGGTTGGGGGGAATTTTTTTGAAAATAATACGATTTTAATGGAAAATCGCACAAATATATATCAGTCAGACAAAATCGCAAGTTTAGCATCCTATCGAACAACCGTGGTTCGACATGGCACCTATCGAATAACCACAGTTCGACAGGTGATAAAATAATTTTTATGAAAGGAAAAACACTGTAGCATCACACCTATCGAACACTACCTGTTCCCTTGTTCGATAGGTCCCTACCGAGTACTGTAGCACGTACTTTTTTTTTTTGACCACTAACCCGTCAAACTGCAACAGTTCATGAGGTAAGTTCGACAGGTTCCCTGTCAAACCACGGTTGTTCGACAGTGTATTAAACTTGTAATTTCGTCCGACCGATCTATATTTGTGCGATTTTCCATTAGAATCGTATTATTTTCAAAAAAAATTCGGGGTTGGGGGGGGGGGGGGGGTTTGCGGTGTGTGGGGTGGTGAACTTGCTGACGAGCTGGATCGAGGGCGCCACGTGGACAGCCCTACCATCAACAAGGCATCAGCGGCGTCACGTCATGCTGAAAAAAACTTGTGAGCCCCATCCCCGGAAGCGACATTTCACTCGTAGTACTCCGCACCAACACGCGCAAGCATGACCAAAGCATTTTTGTACTCACTATGCACAAGGAGCTGATGAGCTGGTCGGGGCACTCCTCGGGGTCCTGCCTCTGCACCGACAGCAGCACGCCGATCATGCTCCTCGGCCTCGCCGCCGCCGCCGGCAGCTCACGCCCGTCGCCGTCGTGCTCCATCTCCTTCCTCTGGTCGTCGATCAGCCCCTGCAGGAACCTCGTCCGGCTCTCGCGCAGCCGCCACAGCCGCCGCCCCACCCCTCCCACGTCCACCCACCGCAGCGCCGCCGGCAGGAAGTCCCACACCGTCGACGCCCCGCTCAGCGCCATCGTCTCCTCCACCATCTCCCTGAACCACCTCGCCTCCTCGCTCACCTCGCCGTCGTCGTCGCTGCACAGAGTTATACCAGATCCATGGTGGTTAACCAAAAGAACTTACGAGTCATGCATCATGGTGATCTTACGCGCCGTAGTAGGTCTTGTCGCAGATCATGGCCATCATGGTGTTCATGAGCAGCTCGAACAGCCGCGACTTGAGCTCCACCCGCACGCGCCCTGCAGCCGCCCCGGCGCCGTGGCGCTGGCGCGACGCCGCGCGGCAGAGGCGTCGCGCCGTGGCGCGCGCCTCGCGGGCGTGGGCGCCGGCGAACTGCCGCACCCGGTGCGCGGAGAGGATCTCGGCGACGGCGACGCGGCGGACGTGGCGCCAGTAGGGCCCGTAGGCGGCGGTGCCCATGGTGGACCAGCCGTAGGACAGGATCCCGGCCGACGGCAGGCGGGGGCGGCCGGCGAACGCGACGTCGTGCGCGCCGAGGCACTCCTCGGCGGCGGGCGCGGACGACACGACGACGGCGACGCGGCGGGATCCCAGGCGGAGGCGGAACACGGCGCCGTGGCGGGCGGCGAGGCGCGCCAGGGTGCGGTGGAGCGGCTTCCTGAAGAGGTGCAGGTGGCCGACGAGCGGGAGGCCCGGTGGCTCCGGCGGCAGCCGCAGCCGCAGCCTCCCGCTTCGCCGGCGTCGTGCGGTCAGCAGCAGCAGGAGGAGGACGAGCGTGAGAGCGATGAGGAGAGTGGAGGTGTCCATGGATCTGGGAACTGACGATTATTGTAGCAGTTGCAGTTGCAGATGCGGCAATTTTTTCAGCCATGCAGACACATCGTGCACAACCCGCCAGACGACCCCATGTGGTGACCTGCCACTACCGGCTTGATTAGACCAGCCAAGCAGCAAGGCCCAATGTCCAATGTCCAATGTGGACCATGTTCTGGTTCTAATTTTGTTTATTTCTATTTTTTTTTAATTTAAATAGAAAAAATATCCGTGCGTTGCAACGGGTGAAGACTATTTTAATTGTATTATTGTTAGATTTTTTTTTGTCTAAAAAGTATATGGGATTTTTATTTTGATATGATATCCAATTCGAAACCCTTGTATTTTTAAAAGCAAACGAATTTTAAAACCAACTTAAATACGGACAACATACTAAAACTATCAGCGGAAACAACTTCACAGCGGAAACAACTTCAGTTTTAATAATAAATCACTTAATCCTAAATGGCCGAACGGAATCATATGTTGAAAAAATTATGTTAAAAAGAATCATGTGTAGATGAATCCTTCACAAAATAAACGGACATGCATGCAAGCCACCCATACAAAAATTAGTATGTTTTTCATTTGCATGTGTACAAAATTATTGAAATAACACAAACAAATCTGTAATAAATAGTATGTAACATATGCTTAGAAGATAGGCAATATTTTTCACTGAGACAGCTCGAAATAGGAAGACAGATTGTGATAGACGTTGGGCCCTTTTACAATTTTAGGCCCATATGTGCAAAAACGTATTGGATGTGCAGAGAAAAAAAAAAAGGAAACGTGAATATGGTCAAAATGCTAAAAACATATATGAATCGGAACAAGACGGCTTGTTGGAATGAAGGGACGGCGGACGAAAATTCGATGAGTATAAAATTATCTTCAATTTTTATAATAGGTAAAGGTTACGACGGAAACATTTTGTTCTCTTTTGAAGCATTTTTTTGTTTTTTTTTGCCTTTTATTATTTTGGATGGATTTTTTTCACGGACTGGTGGACTGCCTTTTTTATTGTTGCATACAAAACAAATCTTTATTTTTTGTTTTTTTGAAGGAACGAACTTTTTTTCGCCGCTCTGGGGGAATCAGACTTTTCTTCTGGGGGACTTTTTCACTCTTTTTTAATTTTTTTTACGGATGGTTTTTCACCTTTCTTAGTTCTTACGAGGAATCGGACACGTTTTCTTTTTAAGGCGGCCCAATTAATTCGCTCAGATGGAAACATTAAATTAAAACCTATTTAAACACGGGTGACCTACTAAAATCTCGATAAAAACACCTTAAATTTTTATAATAGTAGAGATAGAGATAAAGAAGAGATAGAGATATATGGTTTAGTTAAGATGAAACACATTGTGTTAAATTCGTTTGGATATATATTTTGTTAGAAAATTATGAGTTGTAATTAGAGTCCAATCATCTCAAGTTAACCTGCGAGTTTTTTAAACAGATTTCTTTTACGATTCCTTATATATTTACAAAAGCAAACGAACTTAAAATCAACTCAAATATGAATTTGTATTTATAAAGGCAAACGAATTTAAAACCGACTCATACACGGATGACGTACCAAAGTACCGGCAAAAACCTCTTTAATTTTTATAATAGTAGAGATTTAGAGTTTTTTCATCTCATCTCTGAAATTTCTTTTCCCTAACATTTATTTCCTTGTTCATTTTTCCTTTTAGCGTTCACTCCTACGCTTGGATATATAATCCTCATGTACCTTGAGATATTACGTACTCCATCTATCCCAAAATATGAGCAGTTTTAGCTCTAAATTTAAACAATAATATATTTATAGGTAAAAGTTATTATATTTTAGGACGGGCTTAGTAGTCATGGTCGATCATAATTGATAAGAAGTACTATCATTAAAAATTTACACATATCATCATTGGTATCTAACAGATATCATTGTTGATAAATTGATATTTATCATCACCGGTACCTCACGTGTATCATCAGTAGTACGTACATGTATCATCGTATATTCATTGGTGTTTACATGTATCATTACCAGTACTTCGCAAGAATCATTACTGATTCCTACATTTAGAGCGTCCCCAGCAGATCTTTCATCCGGTACTCCATCCGAAATATAGCGCATGAGAGGAGAAAACGGCGCTCCAGCAGATACGGTATCAAGGCCTCAAAAAATAGAGGATGCACCAAATCAGGGAGAGTTCGGCCAAATATGGCGATTCTCTCTCCTCACGCCAAACCTCATCGCCCGCGCTCCTGCCCACATCCGGAGTTCCGGATCAACTTTCCTCCATCGCAACCTCCCTTTCGTCGTCGCCCGGAGGTATGGAAGTAGAGAGGAGAGACTTACTGGATCTGGCGGCGGAGGCTCGGAGTAGAGGCGGAGGCCCGCCCGCCCGCTCGCCGCCGGCTGCCGTTCCTCTGTCGCGACACCGCCGCCCGCGCCCGTCACTCCTCCGCCCGCAAACCCGCCGCCCGCGCCTGCAGCCATGCGGCCGCCGCCCGTCGCTCCTCCGCCCGCAAGGCCGCCGCCCACGCCCATCGCTCCTCCACCCGCGACCCCGCCGCCTGCGCCCACGACCCCACGGCCGCCGCCCGTCGCTCCTCTGCCCGCTCCGCCACCGCCCGCGCCCGTCGCTCCTCCGCCCGCGACCCCGCCGCCGCGCCTCGCCGCCCGAAACCCTCGCCCGTGACCCCGCTGCCTCCGGTTGTCCGCTGAGGGAAGAGAAGAGGAGAGCAGTAGTAGAGAAGACAAGAGGAGAGCAGAAGAAAAGAGTAGTAGTAGCTGTACACGCGGCTGCTATATTGATTTTGGAACGTTTACAAACAAATAACGATTTTACAGTGTCCCATATCATTTTATTTGTGTTGCTATGATTTTTTTTTTGCTATGATTCACTCAATTCAAATATACCAATTAAAAATTACCAGTTAAAATTATCACTGTTAAAATTATCGTGATAAATAGCACCGCGTTAAAATTTAGTTGTTCAAAATATATCCCTTAAAAATAGAAATGTAAAGTTAGTTAAAAGATATTATAAAAAATTGGATATGGTATAGATGATCTGCTGGAGTAGGAAAGGATACGAGTGAGGAATCTTTTTTGGATGGCTATCCATATGGGCATATGGAGGATGAGATTTGGATGAGCTGCTGGAGATGCTCTTATGGTCATTGGTACCTGCATGTATCATTACTCCTACCTACATGTACTATCTGTTATCCGATACTACTCTGTCAAAAAAAAAACGAATTCCTAGCTATGAACCTTGACACATATAGGATTGGTCTTTTTTTTAGGACGGAGGGGTAAGCATCATCACTCGTATTTATATCTATCAGAATGGATGTTACGGTATCATATAGGTGTCACCACCGGTACCTACAAACATCATCATTGGTATCCGCAAGTATGATCTTCTATATCTATTTATATCATCACCGATATTTGACATACATTATTAGACGACATTGTTAGTGTATAGAAGTGCAAATTTTAGGGTCATATGTATCATCACTTTATATAAGCAAATGCCATGATGTAGGATTGAATAGTAAGAACTAAGCCAACCAGAGGGGTGGATGAATGGATGTAGTACCTAAAAACCGAAACTTTTAGCAGAAATAAAAGTTACCATCGAATTCAATGGAGAGCTCGACGTAATCGGTCTAACCGCCAGATCTACTCCAATCTGACTGCAGTGCCGCCGCTGGTCTGACTGCCGCATTGTCGCCGATTGGATTGCCTTCCTGCCGCCGCCTCCTCGCTGGTTAGACCGCCTGTATTACTTCAGTCAAACCGTCGGGACCTAGGAAAGCACGTATCGATGAAATACTTAAAAGTAGATCAACTTTATTGCATCAATATGTGTTTACGAAGTACACCAACAACACTCATCACCAAAATCTCGACTAAACTCGAAACCCTAACTTTTCTCTCAACTCAACTCTCTCAAAAACCAATCCCAAGAGGCCACACCCTCCGTCTCTATTTATATCCAATATAGGCAGCCTAAAGCTACGAACCAACCTTGTACAAGACATCCTAATCCACTAGAAAACATGTCCGTAAAAAAAAATTAAACTTTACTAACTCGAATTGTATCAAATTTGGACACCCTCCAAATTCAACTCCGCTTTCCATACGCACACAACACCACATGTATTCCATATGGAAACCTTCACCTCCACGTGCATTCTTCTCTAGATTGAACATTCCGCGTGATATCCTTGACCGCCCGGACCTCAACCTCCCGATCCTCCCCCAAGCCTAGTCCCGATCCATCACCGACTATACTCCCATGGCCTCAAGCAACACTTGCACATGAACAACAACTAAACTCCATATCCGAGTACAAGTTCGCACTACTTGACTCACATCAGCACATAATAGCATCACATACAAAAAGAAACCAACTAGAAATCATATCCATGAAGCAATCTAGAAATCCCACGAGAACAACCCGAAATTGATTCCCACCTAGAGTCTGCCGGTCTAACCGTCGGGCAACACGATCAGATCGCTCCAACACTACCGGTCTAACCGGCGGCACCTGCCCGGTCTAATCGGCCACACAAAGTCGAGAAACGAAAACACTATTCACCTTATTTTTATAAAATAATTACTTTTGACAATTGTTCATCACCATGATTAAATCATTACATGACTCTACAATCCCTCCGTGATGAACACATTGGCAAAATCCTCAAAATGCAATTTGGTGTTTTTAAAAAATGAAAAACAAAAACAAATAAAAAAAACACAAACAACTCAAAAATCACAAAAGCAAAAAAGAAAAACTCTCTCCTTTTTCAAAAGAAAGAATTTCTTCCCATATTGGCAAACAAAGCACAAAATCGACTATTTTTTAAAAGCAAAACAATTCAAATCCCCCCGGTGACTTGGTAACAAAAAAAAATTCAAATCTCCCCCTTTGAAAGCATGCATTTTGTATATTTCTCCCCCTTTGACAATGATTTCATCATGCATTTGCATTTTAATTAGTAATGTTCAAGAGCTTAGCATCATACATAGAGCAATTCATGTTATGTGTTGTAATAGAAAGAAGATGAACCCATCAATTAAATAGCAGGCATGCACTAGAGTATAATCATGAATCAAAGATATTACTATCAAGTTCAAATCAACAATCAATATTCATAATTTCAAATAATTTATAATGCAATATATTCACAAGCACATAGGTTTAAAAGTCAAGCCTACACATATCTTTCTCAATATTAGCTCTAGCACAAAACAACCAATAGAATTTGTAACATTTATTTGAGCCTTTTTGTTTTACTCATTTTTTTCTCTCATTTATTCTGGAAACGTCCTTGTCATCAAGACTATTTTTGAGGATTCGGCACCCATTATTTTCGCTCACATCGAATACGTCCTTGTTGTCAAGACTGTTTCCAAGGATTCAGTATTCATTTTTTTTCTCTCATAGAAATTATTTTATTCTCTTGCACGATGAGAAAATAAAGAGCAATTTGAGGAATAACAATTCAACAATCATATACATAAGCATTCATCATCCAAACTATGTACTAGCTTCAACATTGCATTTTTTTCTTAATTCAAGTAAAAGAATTAGTGCCATGCACCATCTCACTTAAAAGCAATATCTAAGCCTCATAAAAACACTAAAATGCATACACAAGAATATACAAAATACATGGCAAAATATTATGAACCTTCATAATATTGCTAGCATGCACAAGAATATACAAAATGCATAAGACAAAGCTCTCCTTTTCTTAATTTTTTTTGTTATTTTCAGATTTGCTTGATAACACCAAGAGCAACCCCCCCTCTCAAATTAACCTTCAATTTTCCCCGGACAAAAATCAAGAAGGAAACAAAGCTTTTGAAAAAGACACCCAATTGCCAACAATATCACCAAGGTTCTCATGAATTGATATGTATCTACTTGTATTAACCAAAACTACTACCTCAAACACTAGCATACGAAAAGCTAATAATCAAGAGAGTAGAACAATATTAATATTATGTCATTCCAAAATTATTTTGATGTTACCTCGAAAAACAATCATCTTCACAACGTTGAACGCATATGGAGAGTATGCCGCCAAAATACCTACAAAGAGGAAGATGTCGAGGCCTGTGTGTTGGGGTTAATCATAAGAAATTTTGGAATACAACATTAAGTCACACGACTGGTAGAACCAATAGATACATATGCACACACAAAATCAGAACCAGACTTACCTGAAAACTTACCTTGTCTCTTCACAAAAGTCTAATTTGAATTATGCGCAAAACTCCCCCGAGGCCAGTCTGATCGCCGTTGTACCTGCAGTCTGACCGGGCTTGGCTACCGGTCTGACCACCGGTTCACCTGTGGTCTGACCGAGCATCGCATATGAAAAGAAACCATCTAGAAGTTATATCCATAAAGCAATCTAGAAATCCCACGAATACAACCCGAAACCTACTCCCACCTAGAGTCTGTCGGTTTTCTCATGTGATTTGGATCGAACGATGTATGCACTAGCGTTGGGACGTATCCAAGGTGTATTGAGAGGCGTATCGTCGAGTATCCTGAATTAATTTTTTTTTCAAAAATCCAGAAAAATACGGATACATATAGGATACGTATCGGAGCATATCTGATACGTATTCGTATCCGTTCACGTATTTGACACGGATATGCACCTTCCATGACATATCCAGGTAACGTAGGTGATCGAAGAAGAGCATCACCAACACCCAACGGCTTGTGGCAAGGGATGAAATAGGAGTAACTGGACTGCTCATTTCTGTATTCTACGTACAGATTTTTCATGTAATCTGGACCACAATTTGGTCAGATTTTGAAAATTTCGATCAAATCAGACATTGGTGTTTTCCTTTTTATAAAAAAAAATCCAAAAGAATTTCTTGGGTCTACTATCACTGCCTTGTGCACGCCCTTAATTAAGCTCCAGCGGCGCTCATACTCATTTGGATATGTTTTCACAAATCCATGCATATTTTAAAGCTAAATAAAATAGATCTGGGTGCCATGACGAAGTGTTGTGATTCACGTTTGTGGAATCTTGGTAGATCTTGGTGCCATGACGAATGAGTGATTAAGCATATATGCCGTGTGAATCGAAATGACGAACCGAAAAAAGTAAAAGAAAATGTGGATAGATAGACCACGCACCCAGCTTCCTATCGAGAAAATTTGAGATACGGACAAGGAGTTGTCGTCGTAGCAAGGTCAATCACAAACAACTAGTCAGTCCAGCAACTCAGGGCTTCAATCAATCGTTACTATCTCCCCGGGAAGATAATACTTGTACTTTTAGACAAGGATCAGGTTAAACTTTAAAATCTTTGATTATAAATTATTTTTAAAATATTTATTTTTCAAATATGATTACTACATGTATAAATTAGTGTTAACACTTTTATACATATTATAATAGAAAATAATGGTCAAAGTTATTTTTTAGACCGTGCTTTTATCTAAAACGACAAGTATTATCAACCCGGCGAGAGTATATATGTGGAATCGATTGGCAAATGCAAATCTGCAGGGATCAGGTTCTGGTGGAGTCTTTAGTGTGACTACTACAATTTAAACAGTCACGTTGAGACTACTGACACAGTCACATTGAGACTACTGAAACGATTGAGATCGTTTAAGCACTGTTCATGAAAAAAAAAAACACCAGGCATCTACTATGGGAGATGGCGCTATGCCGCTATAACACTTAATCTACACCTAGGAAAATGAATGGATGAGATCACATGCAGTGATTAACTTACGGTCTTGTGATTGCATTCGATCTCAATCCAATCTGCAGCTACCAGTACATCCTACTACGCAAGTTTCAAAATGATTGAAAAACGAGAGGAGTCACAGGTAGGTGTGTTTTAAGAGGAGGAAAAGAGAAATGTAGAGAAGGTACTGAAAACAATATGATTTATTAGCACATGATTAATTAACTGTTAATTATTTTAAATTTAAAATAATTAATATGGTTTTAAAGTAACTCTTTTATATATATATATATATATATATATATATATATATTTAAAAAAATACTATTTAATCGTTAAAAAATGTACACGCAAAAACCGAGGATCTTTTCACTACTACATAACACCACATCAATGCCAGTTGGGAACCCCACACAGGAACCGGCACAAAAGAGGCGGCACTGATGTGAATACTCAAAGATGCCGGTTTAGGTCCCAAGAATCCAAAAAAAAAAAAGGGCTCAATGCATCGGCTCGAACATTGAGTCGTTCCCCTTCACCCCGAGACCCGTCACCCCGAGAGATCCAAAGCAAATCACAGATCCCTCAACAATTTCATAGAAACAATCACCGTTGCCGCCACGTCGCCGGATCCGTCGCGGGAGCCACCGCCGCCACTGCTCCGCCCGCCGATGCCGATCCCAGATGCGGCTCCGCCCGCCGTTGCCACCCCAGCCACCTCGGCTCGATTTGGGTGTCGGTTTTTTAATTAACCGACACCTATAACATATTATAGGTGCTGATTTTTTTAAAAAACCGACACAATATATAATAGGTGTCGGTTTTTATTATAATTGCTTAAAGGTGTCAGTTTTTTTGCGATTTCAACCCGCGGAGGTAGGAAAATGCCTATATGCCGGTTTTAACACTATCGACACCTATAGTGGCGACACCTATTTAATGTTTTGTAGTAGTGTTTCTTGTCTATCGACAGTCTCAAACAAGTGGTGAAGAAAATGTTACAGAAGTGGCAGGGTGATTATACCGGTCAAGGTTTAAATCACGTACACCCAACATCCTAATTATTTTTATATTTTAACACAGTATTCAAAATGTTACTTTGAGCAAATTTCACAAAACTTCATATATTTTAACCAAACTATTGCAAAACTATAGATTTAAAGTGATACATCACAAAATTACATATACAAATTTATGGTAGAGTATCGTAAAATTACAGATCTAGTAACAAAGCAATTACAAAACTACATGTTTATTATCAACTAAATCACAAAACTTAAATGTTTATAACTCAAACATAATATTAATATTAGTGCTAAGGATTTAAACATACTAGTACGAAGATAGATAGATAGTACGTATAAGAGTATAGTGTACATTATGCTGCATGTTTCATGCAATTGAAAGAAGAGATGATTGGGAAACACCATTAATAGGGTGGTAAAATTATGAGTCCACGACTCCACCTACTATTAGGAAACAACTTATCAGGTTTAAATCTTGGTGTCTATAAATATTATGCACGTGCGAGTGCGTTTTCAATGGAAATTTAGTGAAGTCAAAAATTTATCGCTGGTCTTCGTCTCGTTAAGAGCATTGTGTGTGTCTGATTGCGGTGTGCGTGTGTCATCCGTGCAATGAAAAAATAACAAGGAAAGAGAGAAGATTGGGAAAATTGACAAGTTTCAAAGTTCAAACTGGCATACCGTCTACCCATGTCCCGCCTACCGTCTTCCTCCCCGTCCTCGTTGCCTCCGCCCGCCCAAGCACCCATCGGCCATCGCAGCCTTCAAAACAAACCCGCGACGGACGACGCCCCCGCCCATCGCCCCACACATCTCCCACCAAACCACCCACCCCAACGCCACCTACAATCTAGCTCCTCGCTCCGATCGACCATCCATGGGGACCATCACCGCCGCCAAAGCAGCCGCGGCGGCGGCCGTCTTCCAGTCTCCGTGCTCCCCTGCGCCTGCGGCCAGCTTCCCCGCCCGCAGCGTCCGGCCGGATCGCCGCCGCGCCGTCTCGCTCTCAGTCTCAGGTAATGACCGTTTTGATTTAACGCCTTATTATTATTGATGATGAAAGCAGAGACCATATGACCCACTTGTCGTCGTGGCATCAACATGATGGGATAATGGCAAACTGTGACTCACTCAAGCAGTGCTATGACTATGTCTATGTTGGCAATTCTCTGAAAATGTAGGTGTGTTCGTGATAATTCTATTAAGTTTTTGTGTTGTGGAAAACGCACCGATTATACGGCCGTTAATACGTTGACAGTGATTAGTCCGTCACGTTTTTGCAAAACGGTCTTCACTAATCGTTTCACAACGAAAAAAATCTCGTCATTGCCGATTAATCTTCCCGTTTGTGTCTAATCGGCCGCATAATTGGCCTGATCAAAAGGCTGAACCAACCCACAACGACTACCCTATCCCATTTGTTGTTTTCTCTAGTAGGAGTATAAAGCTAGCTATACCAGTACGTGAATTCCTCTAGAGTATCTGATGCCGCTGCAACCTGGTCTAGGATGTGCACGCCTAAAGTTTCTCTCTGAAGAACATAAGATAATCCATGCAAAATATTTTTCCAATGCACTAATACTAGACAGATTTCTATATCTGTATAATAGCTCTCATGGTTTTCACCTTTTCCTAATTGTAGCATATTATATATGTAGTGAATTTCCAATATATGAGTCTACAATATGCATAACAATATTTACATATTCACAACCGTTAAATTTCCGTCAAATTCCGATTAATCGTCCGTATTCCGATTAATCGTTTGGCGGTACCCACTCTGTCCAACATCCGCATTCCGTCTTCCACAACACTAGTTTTGATTATGTTTTCTTGTAAGGTTTTTTTCTATGAAATTTTCTAGGTTTCTCTTGTGATGAAACTTATATTTTGTATCATTGGTGATCATTACCATTAAAAAGATGTGAACATTAGAGAATGACCTAATATCAAATAATTAGTAATTAGAAGGGGTGAGGCTTCGAACCCAGGTCGTTTAGCCCACCACCTTGTGGAGCTAGCCGGAAGACCCCCGGGTGTTTCTCAATGATCATTACCATTCAACATCATGGTTCAAAATTTTCGAATTTGGATTTTCCCACGCCCAACAGGGATTACCTCTGGTTGAAAAATTTTAGTCGCTTGAATTTAGCGGGAATTTGTTCAAAGTCAGCAAAAATCTGTTCGAATTTTAAAATACAGCACTGAAGTATTTTGCCGAGTCAAACACTGTCCAAATGCCCACATGTTCATGATACGACATTATTTTTAGTTTTACCTTTTGTTCTTTTTATCTTTTACCAACTTCGACAACTTCCTTTTTGCTTGTCAATACTAGTTATTCACTCTTACGAATATGAAGGAAAAGTTGAATGGTTTGACATGCCACAAATTTGCTTTTAAATGTTTAACCAATCGTAACTTCCTATTTCTCGTAGAACTTGGCTACATTGCAGTTAGCTTAATTTAATTTCGTTTAGGTTCGGTTGGTGCTTAAAGTGGAGTTGCGTGGGAAATGTGAACTGGTAATGGTAGTTCACATATACTATATATATCTGTTATTAGACAGCATAAACTTATCTTGTTGTTTTGTATTTTGGAATATGTAATGCTTAAGATTTATATTTATACTGTTTCAGTTAATCTTCTTTTGCGAACCAAAAAAAAAAAGTGTTACTCACCTAAACTATGCCGTTTGCAGGTGTAAGAACTCATGTTGCAGCTGTTGAACAAGCAGTGGTACAAGATGCTATTGCACAGTCAGAGGCTCCAGTTGTTGTTGTTACAGGTGCTTCCAGGGGAATTGGGAAAGCCATTGCATTGGCTTTTGGAAAAGCCGGCTGCAAGGTTAACACTTAGTAATTGATTTATGCTTATACATCTATAGAAATTTTATCAAAAGGGCTGATGCTTATCTGAGCCACTGCAACTGGCTTATCTGAGTTACAGCAGGCTGGAAACTTAAATGGTTAATTTATATATTCAATAGGATCATAGGAGTATCCCAAATGACTGTTATTGACAATCTGAATAGATGAATTGATGAAAACTTTAGTTGCATGCTACCCTGTGAAAGAAATTTACCTTTTATTTACCTTCAAGTTTCATGATTGTGAATCATGTAGGTGCATCTAGAACAATACAAAGAGGATTGTATCTGGAAAATTGGGTTCAAATATTTATCTGTTGCCTAGTTGTTATGCTGAACTAGAATAATTTCCCTGAGTATAACACAAGTTTTACAATCAAAGGGGAAAAAAAAACTCTACTTACCTTTCAGGTCTTAGTGAATTATGCTCGGTCTTCAACAGATGCTGAAGAAGTCTGCAAAGAGGTAAAGCTTTGTGTTGACTAGTTACTTTGTTCATATTTTTTTTAAAGCAGCATAACGTAGATGATTTGTAATACGAGAATACCACGAAGCATTAATTTAAACTAAAACTGCGTTATGTTCTTATCTAAAGTAAAGAGTAAATTTCACAAAACCATAAATAATCAAAGGAAAATACAATTGAATGTTGTTTCCGGGGTGCATGTGTTTTGAAAATTTTGTTCTGTTGTTCTGCCTTAAATAGATGGAAGAAGATACTGAGGTTTCCGTATTTTACAGATTGAAGGATTTGGTGGTCAGGCAATTACCTTCCGAGGAGATGTTTCTAATGAAGCCGATGTGGATTCTATGATTAAAGCAGTAAGCATAGTCCATTCGTGATACTCTGTGATACTGGTTTTCTCTCTTCAAATTTCTGACCACGATTAATCATCCAGGCTGTTGATACATGGGGTACAATTGATGTACTTGTAAACAATGCAGGTACTCCTAGTGGAATATTATATCTTTTTTTTACACAAAAAAAACAATTTATTTTACTTTTAAGTTTTAACCCTGACCATTCTGATATTCAGGAATCACACGGGATACATTGTTGCTGAGAATGAAGAAATCTCAGTGGCAAGATGTAGTTGATCTTAATCTTACGGGCGTATTCCTTTGCACACAGGTACTAATCACACATTTTCTCATATTTTGTACTTAAAATGCTTTATGCATCATACTGCAAATGTTTTTTTTGCAGGCTGCGACAAAAGTAATGATGAAGAAGAAAAAGGTACTCCATATAGTTCATTTCTTTACCAGATTGATATTTGATTGTTTTTTAATATTTTTATATTTTTTTTCACGCTGTTCTGTACTGAACTTCAATACGGCAAATTTGCAATATAGGGAAGAGTTATCAACATAGCATCAGTTGTTGGCCTTACTGGCAATCTTGGCCAAGTTAATTATGCTGCTGCCAAGGCTGCAGTTATTGGGTTAACAAAAACAACTGCTAGGGAATTTGCAAGCAGAAATATTACAGTGAGCACATTTTCTTTCATTTTATTGTTTCAAATCCTTCATCTGGTAATCAAATTGCTAATACATTTCTCTACATATCTATCTAGGTGAATGCTGTTGCTCCTGGATTTATTTCATCAGATATGACCTCCCAACTTGGGGAGGAGATTGAGAAGAAAAATCTGATAACTATTCCCTTAGGTCTGCGAATGCTTAATCCATCTTATTGTTCACTTTGTCAAGACAATATTTGTGCTCACATTTTCCCTGTAAATTGACCACTTCGTCCTTAATTTATTTTATCCTATCAGAAGAAATCTGAACATGTCAACCATCCATAGTGCTAATGCTCCTATACAATTTTGCCAGGGAGATATGGTGAACCAGAGGAAGTTGCTGATCTGGTTGAGTTCTTAGCACTTAGCCCTGGTGGAAGCTACATCACTGGGCAGGTAGTGAGAACATAGATTAAATGTTCATTTTGTTTGTTGGGAAAATTTCGGAAATGCCATCACTAAGATACTTGAGTTGTAAAATATCATTGTACATAAGAATGACATGTAGGGTCTAAAACCACATGCCAATATCATATACGATGAAATTTTCCAACTCAGGTGATTTTTCGATGGTACTAGGCGAATTGGTGTTTCTTTGTGTTCTTTGATGACCCTTTCACCTTCTGAAGGTCTCATACTCTCGTGTCACCATACAGGTCCTCACTATTGATGGAGGAATGGTAATGTAAAAAGGCTTGAGCGGTCACTGGCAATCTTCCCGGCAGCTGTAGTAGTAAAATCATCATGTAATGAACATCTTTTTTGTGAAGTATTATTTACTGTTGAGATACCCTTACCTATAAGAGACTTGTTTCTTGTGTAGTTTATAATGGTATTGGAATAGCTCTAACTCTGTTCGTCTTTGATTCGAGATCAATTGTAGAGCACATAGAAATTTTGGACATTGGTTTCCTTTTTGCGAACAATAATGATGTATAATGATCTCCTAGTTTATCTTCGCGTTCGATAATAAACGGATTATATGATCTGCCATGCTCGTACCATAGTAGCATCCTGCTACCATTTCTCCTTTCATCTGACTATTTGAACCCTGCAAGCTGTTCCAAACTGATAGTTTGTTTAACCGCTCTACAAATTTCATAACGACAACCACCATGCAAAAGCACCACATTCAGTTCAGCACACCACATAATTCGTATTAACCAAGTTAACCGAAGACGACGATATGAGATTAGATATATCAATGTTAGCATGCAAGTACTCAAACCCCCGTCACATTGTACTTGACCACAAGGCATGTCCATACATGATAACATCAAAATTCAAGGAACTCGAGGGCAGATAAATTGACTGAGTGATGTGCTAAACATAACATTCTCTCATGTTCCCTGACCTACGCCTTGATGGCATACTTCCTCATGGGGAAATACTTCTCGCGCTTCTTTTCCCTCTCCGTCTTCAGCGAAAGCTGTGATATGGCAACCATGGAAAATGTCAGAAGACGGATGCAAGTATAACATAACTAGATTCATTACAAGACACTAGAAAATTGAACATAAGTTTAGGATGACAAATGACTTCATGTTTCTATAAGAATTGAAAAAGGTGAGCCTTCATTTTTCAAAGAATGCAGCAAACAAGTCCTTTATCTACCCTTCTCTCTTAATATCTTCCTATATATCATATGCAGACAAGCACAGCCAAGTACCAACTGCCAAAACAAACAAAAAAAGTAACTACATATATCTTGATATTGCGTGAGCAATATGTATTCATCCCAGGGCTCATGTATTCCACATTCTACATGGGAAAAAATGATGCCCCATTTTTTTATCTGTTTCCTAGTAGTTGCTGTGAAGTGATTGACGATGAGGGATGCATACAATCTGACAAAACTGATTGTATTTCTCACAATTTTGTTAAGAAAAGCAATTTTATAGCAAGTAATATAATAAAAATCTACAATTACATGTACAATCTAACAATTAAAAGCAACCAACAATGATGAAACCCCACGCAGTTAACAAAATGGCGTTGCTAATAGAATTAACAAAATGGTGTAGCATGCAGATGTAGCAGTACAGAACAATTCACTGCATTAACTAAGTTATCTACTGCAATGGTAGTAAGTACACATTTCATGCAAAAAAAACAAAACAGCCCAAGTTAAGCTAAAAGTTTGAAGGAAGATGACACCATGTGAATCTCTATCAGCATGAGTTTTAGATATCAGTAGTAGGTGTGCACGGTTTTATGAAATCTTATACCTGGTGCTTGGTGAGGCGGCGGCGGATGGCGCGGGTCTTCTTGGGGCGGAGGTCGAGGGGGAGGAGGCTCTTCTTCTTGTACGCCTCACGCAGCGCCGCCCTCTGCTTCTGCGAGATCACCGTCAGCACCCGCGCGATCGACGTGCGCACCACCTTGCTGCAAAACCACAGAGATTCAATCAATCACAAGGGCACACAGAAAGAGGAGAGAATGAGCGCGAGCGCGAGCGCGAAGCGCGTACATCTTGGAGAGCTTGTTGGGGGCGCCGCCGGTGACCTTGGCGACGCGGAGGAGGGAGAGCTCCGCCTTGAGGTCCTTGAGCTGGGCCTGCAGCTCCGCCTTGTTCTTCCCCCGTAGCTCGTCGACCTTGATCCGGGCTGCACCACACACGCACGGTTAGATCCGCAGGCGAGCGGGAGGAGAGAAGAACGGAATGTTGTAGCTTACCCATGGCGACGGAGGCGGCGCGGCGGGCGGCGGCGGCGGCGGCGGCGGCGGCGGTGCTAGGAAGGGGAAGAGGTGAGGAGGCGGCGGCGGAGGCTTATATATAGAGGAGAGAGAGACAGCGAGACGCCGCGGAGTGGAAAAAAACCCTAGGCTGAGTTGAGATGGGCTTTCATGGGCCTTGTTGGGCTTTATGATAGATGGCTGGGCCCATTGACTGTTTAAGGTGAGTTGAAATGGGCTTCCCATAAGGATTCGAGGATTTGGATTTGTCGGTTTTGATGTTAACAGCTCGGAGATGACAGTTTAATGCAAAATTTAAGTTTTAGCTTGAGTTTTTATATACTTGACCGGATTTTAGTGAACTTTTAGCTTGAGCCGGAGCAATAAAGCTGATGATACCTGTGGTTTTCGAGCAGTTATCATCGGTTTTGTGAATGTCGTATTTCACGACTATGCTCGCACTATCAGAATTGTACTATTGAAGTACTTACTTGACAAATGAATTGTGGAGATCATGGATACCCCATACATACACGGCATGTATAGTTTGACTGGGTATGGAGTGCTATATATAGATAGAATATCTTTAAAATGACTTGGGTTAAATTCTAAACTTGTATGTCAAGGTAATACCCAAGATCCTAGTCGGTTACGATTGTATTTTATTTGTAACTACCTATTCCGTTAGGGATATGGACTGTATTTTGTAATACGGACCCCTTCTTCTATATAAGAAAGGGTCCAGGTGCCTCTAGGGGCACGTTTTTTCACCCAGATCATACGATCAATAATATACTCGGCAGATCAATCCCCGGACATGAGTAGGGTACTACTTCTTGATTAAAAAGGCCTGAACCTGTATAAAATTCCTTGTCTCTTAAACCATCCACTTTTCCAGTTTGATAGCCACCCCCTTTAGTATTGTCGAAATCTTGTTTTGACAGTTGGCGCGCCAAGTAGGGGTAGTGTCAAGTACTTCGCCGACTAATGCGATGGGTTTCGTTTCCGACATCGACGACTTCGTCTTCCCTCCTAGGCAGGCGTTCCGGTTCGGCAGCCTCGACTTCATCACCAACGACCTCGTCAAGATTTCTCTCCTCGACTCGGATTCGAACCAGTCGGGAAGAAGCCAGATCTCCGCCCCGTTCGGTATCCCAAACTCGGCCAAGATCTACCCCAAGATCGTCTCCACCGAGTCGGCTTCAAACCACTCGAACGAGATCCAATCTACTCCAACACGACTCGATCAAGACGATGGGGCCTATCCGCCAATCCTGATGAAACTCCCCGATGATTTGGCTGCTGTCTTCACCACAAGGGCATCTTCTCCCCGTAGATCTAGGCGGGATCCGGCCTCTACCCCGATCCAGCTTAGCACCAGAGAAGTCGGCATCATACTCCAGCCTCTCAGCACGGTTTCGACGGAACAACTGGATGGCTACCTCAGCTCCCCCGGCGTCGACTCACGGCCAACGGAGATCATTGAGTACAACGACTTCGGCTGCCGCTACGACTACCGCAACCTCGACGACTTCGACGAAGACTTTGAAGATAACTACACGCCTCTCTACTTCGGCATCTTCATGGCTGACAACGAGATGGAAGAACAGCGTAAAGCCCAAGAAGCAGAAGAACAACGCGTGCAACAGGAAGCCGAACGACGCCGACTGGAAGAGGAGCGCCAAGCACAAGAGCAAGAATAGGCTGCAAAAGAGGCTGAGGACCGGCGATAGCGCGCTTTGGATGCCGGGTGACGAGCACGAGAACTTATCGGGCAACAAGACGTTGACGGAACGGCGGTTTTTCGCACCCCTCAACAGAACGCAGTTGCAACGATCACCCTCCTCGACACCCTCCTCAAGGAAGACGCACTCAATCAAGCCAATCACGTCGTCAACATCTTGAACCAGACCAAGATCATGATCGCCGTCTCGGTCCCGGTTAACTCTGCAAGCGTCCGCACGCCGACTGGCAGCCGAGTTCCCCCTCTTCGATCTCAAGACTATCACCAACCAAGCCTCAGTGTCGTCGGCGCGGGATCTAGTCGCAGGAGCAGGGGTCACGACGAGCGATCTGTCCACTCGCCTCCTGAACGACACAGGGAGCGTCGAGTTGAACGACCTCGCTCCCCACATCGCAGGCGCCCTGTCGATCTTCGCGATATTATCAACCAGCGCCGCGCGGCAAGAGGATACGTTCCCCACCATTCACCAGATCGCTACGACGACGACGTGGATGGAGTTGCTGCCTTCACAAGTGAACTGCGTCGAGTGGATTGGCCAGCCGGCTTCAAGCCGACTGGAATCGAGAAGTATGACGGCACCACTAACCCGGAATCTTGGCTCACCGTCTATGGTCTCGCAATTCACGCAGCAGGAGGAGACAGCAAAGCCATGACAAACTATTTGCCTGTGGCCCTAGCGGACTCTGCCCGATCCTGGCTTCACGAGTTACCCCGTGGCACAATCGGATCTTGGGCGGAACTTCGCGACCACTTCATCGCCAACTTCCAGGGTATCTTTGAACGCCCTAGTACACAGTTTGATCTCTACAATGTTGTTCAGAAGTCTAGAGAATCCCTTCGAGATTACATCAGACGCTTTTCCGAGCAACGCAACAAGATCTCCGACATCACCGACGACGTCATCATCGCTGCCTTCACCAAGGGCATTCGCCACGATGACCTAGTCGGCAAGTTCGGGCGCAAGCCTCCCAGGACGGTCAAGCAGATGTTCGAAAAAGCCAATGAGTACGCCAAAGCCGAAGATGCCATTACCGCGTCCAAGCAGTCGGGCACCACTTGGAAGCCGAAGAAAGATACGCCGACTACAGGGGGGAGTGGAAGTACCAATCACAAGGATCGCAAGCCCGAGGAACTTGTGGCAACTACTACACCATCCTCCCGGCAACATTCACGGGTCAACACTTTTGACAAGATCATGAACTCCCAATGTCCGCATCATCCAAACTCCAATCACGCGGCCAAAGATTGCTTCGTCTATCAACAGTTCGCAGAACAATACGCCAAGAATGCACGCAAGGCCTCTGACGGAGATCAAAGCACGTCAAAGAAGAAGGATGATGAAGACAACGCCCCGACTGGTTTTCAAGACCATCGCAAGGAACTCAACCACATCTTTGGCGGACCCCTGGCTTATGAATCCAAGAGAAAGCAAAAGCTAACCGAACGGGAGATCAACGCTGTTCAGCCCGACACGCCCCAATATCTTCGGTGGTCAGAGACAACAATTAAGTTTGACCGCTCGGATCATCCTGACCGAGTGGTCCACCCGGGGCGGTACCCCCTGGTACTAGACCCAGTGGTTCGCAACGTCAAGCTTCGCAGATCCCTCATCGATGGTGGCAGTGCACTCAACATCCTTTTCGCCAAGACTCTGGACGACATGCAGATCCCTCGCACGGAATTAAAGCCGAGTAATGTGCCCTTTCACGGAGTCATCCCAGGGCTATCTACTACACCACTCGGCCAGATCATTCTTCCGGTTACTTTCGGCACTCGGGAGAACTTCCGCACAGAGAACATTTGTTTCAAGGTCGCTGATTTCGAGACAGCGTATCACGCCATACTCGGACGCCCAGCGTTAGCCAAGTTCATGGCTGTCCCGCATTATACCTACATGATGATGAAGATGCCTGGTCCTCGAGGAGTCATATCCCTGCGGAGTGACATCAAGCAAGCCGTCACGTGTGACAAGGAAAGCTGCGAGATGGCCCAGACCTGCGAGATCACGCTCGCCCGAGAAGAAATCCAACTGGCTGCGTCCACAGCAAGCGAAGGAGAAGTGCCTGCGACCAAGATGCCAAAGAGCGGGGAAAGCGACACCAAGACCAAGAAGATTCCTCTAGATCCCTCTGATCCTACTAAGACAGCTGTAATAGGCGCTGAGTTAGATTGTAAATAGGAAAGCGCGCTCATCACCTTTCTTCAAAATAATAAAGATATCTTTGTGTGGAAACCATCTGATATGCCTGGTATTCCTAGAGAGGTGATTGAGCACTCTTTACATGTTAAGGATGACGCTAAACCAATAAAGCAATGACTCCGCCGTTTCGCACAGGATAGGAAGGATGCGATCAAGGAAGAATTGACCAAGCTGTTAGCAGCGGGCTTCATCAAGGAAGTCCTTCATCCCGACTGGCTAGCCAACCCAGTTCTGGTTCGGAAGAAGACGGGGCAATGGCGCATGTGTGTTGATTACACCGACCTCAACAAGTCTTGTCCCAAAGATCCATTTGGGTTACCTCGCGTTGACCAGGTAGTTGACTCAACGGCCAGCTGCGAGCTACTCAGTTTTTTGGATTGCTACTCGGGATATCATCAGATCCGACTAAAGGAATCCGACTGCTTAAAGACTTCATTCATCACGCCCTTTGAGGCCTACTGCTACATCACCATGCCTTTTGGATTAAAGAACGCAGGAGCAACTTATCAACGCATGATCCAGAGATGTTTTTCAACTCAGATCGGCCGCAACGTTGAAGCATCCGCGCTTTTAGGATGAAATTAAATCCTGAAAAGTGCATCTTCGGAGTACCGTCAGGGAAGCTGCTTGGATTTATGGTGTCCCATAGAGGCATACAAGCTAACCCGGAGAAAATCAATGCCATCCTCAACATGAAACCGCTGAGCTCCTAGAAAGACGTTCAAAAGTTAACTGGCTGCATGGCGGTGCTCAGCCGGTTCGTCTCACGACTCGGCGAGCGGGGGATGCCTTTTTTCAAGCTGTTAAAGAAAACCAACAATTTCCAGTGGGGACCCGAAGCACAAAAAGCCTTTGAGTACTTCAAAAAACTTCTCACTACTCCACCAGTCTTAGCTTCACCACATCCGCAAGAGCCGTTGTTGTTATACGTGTCGGCAACTTCCCAGGTTGTAAGCACAGTCCTGGTTGTTGAGCGTGAAGAAGAAGGCCATGTTCAAAAATTCCAACAACCAATCTACTTCGTTAGCGAGGTTTTGGCTGACTCCAAGACAAGATACCCTCAGGTTCAAAAGCTATTATATGGTGTTTTAATTACCGTCAGGAAATTATCTCACTACTTCCAAGGTCACTCGATTACGGTGGTTACATCGTTTCCACTCGGGGACATACTTCACAATCGCGAAGCAAATGGGCGGATCGCAAAATGGACCT